GACTGTAACTGACCAGACCGTCCTAAATGCGCCTGCCTGCCTGTCACCGCCTCTCCTCTTCCGCTCGCAGGCTCTGCCTCCCTGCAGCAGGAGGGAGGGTCTGGCACACCCCCGCCCCCTCCCCCGCTTTCCCTCCGACGAGACCCGCCCCTGCCAGAGTACCTCCTGATAGTCCGGCATTTCTGATAATCCAGCACCACCTGGGTCCCAAGGGTGCCGGATTATCGGAAGTCTACTGTACATTATTTTGAGGAAGATTCTTTGGTTTACTAGCTTTGTTGGCTACAAGGGCACACTGTTGATTCATATCCAGCTTCTCAACTACTGTAATCCCCAGGTCCTTTTCTGCAGAACTGCTACTTAGCCATTCAGTCCCCAGCCTGTAACAATGCTTGGGATTCTTCCATCCCAAGTGCGAGACTCTGCACTTGTCCTTGTTGAACCTCATCAGATTTCTTGTGGCCCAATCGTCTAATCTGTCCAGGTCACTCTGTACCTTATCCCTGCCCTCAAGCGTATCTACTTCTCCCCCTAGCTTAGTGTCATCTGTGATCTTTCTGAGGATGCAACTCATCCCCTCATCCAGGTCATTAATAAAGATGTTGAACAAAACTGGCCCTATAACCGATCCTTGGGGCACTCTGCTTGAAACCGACCACCAACCAGACAGAGCTGCTGTTCACTACCCATTGGACCGGACAATCTAGCCAGCTTTCTATCGACCGTACAGTCCATTTACCCAATCCATATTCTCTTATCTTGCTGGCAAGAATATTGTGGGAGACAGTATCAAAAGCTTTGCTAAAGTCAAGGTATATCACATCCACCGACTTTCCCATATCCACAGAGCCAGTTATCTCATCGTAGAAGCTAATCAGATTAGTCAGGCATGACTTGCCCTTGATGAATCCATGTTAACTATTCCTGATCACTTTCCCCTCTTCCAAGTGCTTCAAAATGGATTCCTTGAAGATCCCTTCCATGATTTTTCTGGGAACTAAGGTAAGGCTGACTGGTCTGTAGTTCCCTACATTGTCTTTTTTTTTTTTTTTTTTTTTAAAGATGAGCTTCCATGATTTTTCTGGGAACTAAGGTAAGGCTGACTGGTCTGTAGTTCCCTACATTGTCTTTTTTTTTTTTTTTTTTTTTTTTTTAAAGATGAGCACTATATTTGCCTTTTTCCAATCATCTGGGATCTCTCCTGATCTCCATGAGTTTTCAAAGATAATGGCCAAAGGCTCCTTAATGACATTTGCCAATTCCCTCAGTACTCTCAGATGCATTAAATCCGGGCCCATGGATTTGTGGATGTTTAGCTTTTCTAAATAGTTCTTAACTTGTTCTTTCCCCACCAAGGGCTGTCCACCTCCTTTCCATACTGCGTTGCCTAGTGCATTTGTCTGGGAGCTGACCTTGTCCATGAAGACAGAGGCAAAGAAAGCATTGAGTACTTCAGCTTTTCCCACATCATGTGTCACTTGGTTACCTCTCTCATCCAGTAAGGGCCCCACACCCTCTCTGATGATCCTCTTATTGCTAACATGCCTGTAGAAATCTTGTTATTCCCCTGCTAGCTGCAATTCCAATTGCGCTTTCGCCTTCCTGATAACTCCCTTCCATTCTCGAGCAATATATTTATACTCCTCCCTAGTCATCTGCCCAAGTTTTCACTTCTTTAAGCTTCCTTTTTGTGTTTAAGCTCACCAAGGATGTCCCCGGTAAGCCAATTTGGTCGCCTACCACATTTGCTTTTCTTGCTGCACATCGGGATGGTTTCTTCCTGTGCCTTTAGTAAGTCTTCTTTAAAATACTGCCAGCTCTCCCCTTCATGTAAGCATCCCAGGGAATCCTGCCCATCAGTTCTCTGAGGGTGTCAAAGTCTTGTTTTTCTGAATTCCAGGGTGTATATTTTGCTACTCTCCTTTCTTCCTTTGGTCAGGATCCTGAAATCTACCATCTCATGATCACTGCTTCCCAGGTTGTTACCCACCTCTACTTCCCCTATTAGTTCCTCCCTGTTTGTGAGCAGCAGGTCAAGCTGAGCATGGCCCCTGGTCGGTTCCTTCAGCACTTGTATCAAGAAGTTATCCGCAACATTCTCAAAAAAACTTCCTGGATTGTCTGTGTACTTCTGTATTGGTCTCCCAACAGATGTCAAGGTGACTAAAGTCGCCCATGAGAACCAGGGCCTGCGATCTGGAAGCTTCTCTCAGTTGTCCAAAGAAAGCCCTCGTCTACCTCATCTACCTGATCCAGTGGGTCTATAGCAGACACCAACTACATCACCCTTGTTGCTTCCATCTCTAAACTTAACCCATAGACTCTCAACAATCTTTTATCCCTCTAAAAGGAGGAGTTCAGAGCAATCATAGTGCTCTCTTACATATAGTCAATCCTTGCGGAGGCCATTTAGGGATTTGGGACAAAAATTTGTCAGGGATGGTACTTGGTCCTGCTGTGAAGGCAGGGGACTGGACTTGATGACCTTTCAAGGTCCCTTCCAGTTCTAGGAGATAGGCAATCTCCATTAATTTAATTTAAATACTGGCGCTCCGAGCAATCATACTGCTCTCTTACATACAATGCTACTCCTCGTCCTTTTTTCCCCCCACCTGTTCTTCCTGAACAGTTTATACCCTTCCATGACAGTGCTTCAGTCACACGAGTCATCCCACCAAGTCTCTGTTATTCCAATCAAATCATAGTTCTTCAACTGGGCCAGGGCTTCTAATTCTTCCTGTCGTTTCCCAGGCTTCTCGCGTTTTTGTACAAACACCTTTATGTAACCATTTGATCTCCCTACTTTCTCTATCCGAATCAGGGGTCCTCCTTGTGATTCTTCCCAGTGTCTGACTTCCTCACTTACCTCAGGGCTTTTGTCACTGTCCCCCAACGAACCTTGTTTTAAGCCCTCACTAGGTTTGCAAGCCTACCTGCAAAGATGCTCTTTCCTCTCTTGGTTAGGTGGATCCCATCTCTTCCTAACAATCCTTGTGCTCGGAACAGAGTCCGATGGTCAAAGAAACCAAAGCCCTCTCTCTGACACCACCTGCACAACCATGCATTTATTTCCTCAATTCGACGATCCTTACCTGGACCTTTTCCTTCAACCGAAAGGATGGATGAGAACACCACTTGTGCTTCAGATTCCTTGATCCTTCGTCCCAGCTCTACATAATCTGCTGTGACCCGCTCAAGGTCGTTCTTGGCCGTATCGTTATTTTCTACATGGAGAAGCAGGAAGGGGCAGCGATCCGAAGGTTTAATCACTTTTGGAAGACTCTCAGTCACATCATGAATGTGAGCTCCTGGTAAGCAGCACACTTCTCGAGATAGCAGGTCTGGATGGCAGATGGATGACTCAGTCCCTCTTAGAAGGGAGTCCCAGTCCACCACCACCCGTCGTTGTCTTTTGGGGGAGGTGGTTGTGGAACCCCCATCCCTAGGATTACTCATCCCATGCCTTCCAGTACATGGTGCTCCCTTCTGATTTCTTCCCTGAGAGGTCCCTGCCAAAGCATTCTCCACCGCAGTGCCTGTGGAGAGAGCCTGATGGTGGCTTACTTACCTCTACAGGAATGGGGGATACCTGAGTTGGCTGCCTTCTCCTTCTCGAGGTTACATGCTGCCAATTTTCTTCTTTGTCCTTTACTGCTCTGACGGGCTCTTCAGCCTGCTGTGCCTGCAGGATTAAAGGTTGCCTTCTGTCGAAGAAGTCTTCATCCTCTCTGATAAAACTTAGGGTCGATGCTTGGGCCTCAAGTCTTTTAATTTTTTCTTCCAAAATGGTGACCAGCTTGCACTTAGTACAGATGAAATCCTTTCTTTCTTCTGGGAGGAAAACAAACATGGCACATGATGTGCAGGTAACGACAGCAGATCTATCACCATCCATACCTGCCTTCCTTCTGAGAGATTCCTCAGTTATTAAATGCCTCTTTGAAGGGCAGGAGTATAGTGAAAAGATTGTAAAGACTGGGGAGTGTATCTTGCCCCCTTTCCAAACTCCCTGTTAACAGCCCCTCTTTGCAAGCTCCCTGGCGGCTGACTCACACCTTTATAAGGCCCTGGACTGCCTGATAGACCCTTCCACTGATTAAGGCTCAACAAATGAGCAGAGGCTTCTAGATTTCAAACCTTGATTAGAAGCTCATAGCTTCCACCTGCCGGCCACAGCACACTCTCCATGGGGGTGGGAGGAGGGAAAGGAGAAGAGAGAAAACCAAACAGCGAAACACAAGCTAAACACATAGCAAGAAAACCACAAACACACACTACAGACAGCCACTTCCCTCAAGGGTCTTGTATTAGCTTCTTCCTTTATCTGGAGAACTCCTTCTCCAAACTCCCTGTTAACAGCCTCTGTTGCCTGTATTAATCTGTTACAGTGGATGTAATAAAATCCGAAGTTCAGTCTGTTTTTTCTCTAGGATGTTTTTCGTTCGCTAGATTGTTTCGGAAATTATGATTGCTAATATGAGGCATAAATTTTCAGCATGATGGATAGGTATTTATCAATAAAATTCCTTTTCAGCATTAGTGAGGACTGAGGGATAAAATCCCCATTTTAAGGAATGCAACTCTGTTATATAGTTTCTTCATGTGTCTGTAATGAAATATTAGGTTAATTTTAAGGGCCTTAACTTTCTGAATTGTAAGTAAATTAGTTATAGTGAACTGATTTAAAAAAAAGTTGTCATATTAACAAGTGCTGTATTTCTCTGGCATATTTGAGCTTTTTATTCTTCTTTCATAGATGTCTTATTTCAACGTTTTGCAAAGCTTTTCTTTGGCTGTGTCGCAGCTGTCACTAGTGGGATGATGTATGCAGTATATCTCTCAACATACCATGAACGGAAATTCTGGTTTTCCAGCAGGCAGGTAAAAAAGAGTAGTTCTCAAGTCATGTGTTGTGTTGTGTTTTTTAATCCTCTCCATTAATGAGAATGTCAGATTGAAACTCCTTGTTCCTACTTTCAAATCCCTAAATCATGCATCCTTTGTTTACATTTGTGACAAGGTCATTTGTTTGTATCCTTTGTGTCAGTAATGCCAATCTTAGTTTCCTTTGGCTCCTCTAACATAGGTCTTCATGCCATTTTCTGTCCTGGTCTTTATGGTTTGAACCGCCTTCTAAAGTCGCTTGGAGAAGCCACCCTCAGCTCATTCATATCATTCCTGAAACTGACTTCTTGCTGCAGTGCCCTACATAATATTTTATCTACTATGAAAAAATTCTAAAATTGAGCCACCCACATGTACATATGCCATAAAGAGTAACTGAATAATGGTGGATGTAATGTATGTTTGCCCTTTCCTCATCCCATTTTGGTGGCTGTTATATCCTCACTCATTTAAAATTAATCATTTAGATTGCAAACTTTCTGAGAAGAGACCTGTTTTATCTGCTTCTGGACATGAGAAACTTCTTCGGTTCTAATTCCAGAGCTGACCCCAACTCTTTCTTGTGTCTTGAGCATATCACAGAATATTAGGCCTGGAAGGGCCTCGAGAGGTCATCGAGTCCAGTCCCGTGCCCTCATGGCAGGACCAGTCTAGTACTGTCTAGACCAGTGGTCCCCAACCATTTGACGTCGCCGGGCGCCAGGGGGGCATGGCTGTTCACCTGCTGCGCACCAGAAGGCAGGGACACTCGCGTACCAGGGGGCGGGGCTGTGCATATGCCACACCCCCGTGCGCCCAGAGCACGGACGGCCGCTTCGCCGCGTGCCCAAGGACGGTGTCCCTCTCCCCTCCCCCCCCCATAGCCGCACGCCCGGAGCACGGGCGGCCACTTCGCCGCGTGCCCGGGGCCAGCGCTCACCATGTGCCCAAGGCCGGCTCTGGCACAGTCCAAGTGCCACGTGTCCGGGGCCAGGACAGCCCCGAGCACTTGGCGGGCGCACACAAATGCCCCCACGGGCACTGTGTTGGAGACCACTGGTCTAGACCATCCCTGATAGACATTTATCTAACCTACTCTTAAATATCTCCACAGATGGAGATTCCACAACCTCCCTGGGCAATTTATTCCAGTGTTTAACCACCCTGACAGTTAAGAACTTTTTCCTAACATCCAACCTAAACCTCCCTTGCTGTAGTTTAAGCCCATTGCTTCTTTTTTTATCCTCAGAGGCCAAGATGAACAAGTTTTCTCCCTCCTCCTTATGACACCCTTTTTGATCAAAATTTAGAATAGAAATCTCAAAATCCCTTATCAGCACTCAGATCTGTAGGTCATGTCGCAACTTGGTTTGGTGATGTGATGGGAGCCCCTAGGGGCTAAAGCTGACTACCCAGTGAAAACTACTGGATGATAGTGAAACAAATGATTTTTTTATTAAGCAAAAATGATTCTTTTATAAAAACCAAATGACTTTAAAACGAGTTTTTAAGAAGTAATTGCCTAGTGCTTTTACAGGAGGGAAAAACTGAACCAAACTGCACTTAACTGATTATAAACTTTGTGATTATAATTCGATTATATTAAATCACTATTTCTAATTTGCTTAAGGCAGCGCAGCATGCCAGCAAAAAATACAAAAACAAAGTCAATATAATGATAATAAAAACTCCGTCCACAGCCAGCCCCGCTATGGTTATTTTAGGGCAGCTGGTAGAGTTAGTCATTAATTTACCTCTACAACTTAACAACTCCTGGGTTTCTATTTCTAACACTTATACTTGGCCTTAATACACCACTACACAACACGAGATTATACAATTTACACAGTGTGGTTAATAGAACTCAGTTACACTTTACAGAATTACACAGTGAACTTAACACAATTCAGCTATTAACTAAACCAGTAACTAATATATTTAAGCAATACTTACAAATCCAGCAACGATAACAGCGTAAAGACACACTGGAACTCAGAGCATGCTCAGAACTTCCGCACCCCTATCTTTGACTCGAAGGGTGAGGAGGCAGCCTCAGAGTGATCAATCCTTCAGCCGGGCAAAAAGACACATGCCCTCAATACACGGAACCTCGCTGAACAAAGGGGTTGAGGGTCTTTTATAACATAACCTGATGTCCAGTACATTATTAGGGTCTGTTCCCTGGCTGGGCCTGATAGGCTGGTAATGAGGTAATGTGCAATATGGCCTTATAGGATTTTTCATGATGCCCGCCTGATGGCCCCGTGGACAGTGCCGGGTGCGGGCATGGTCAGTGTGCATGGCAGTTGTGTCTTATCTCCCTATGCCTACCTCCCTACCTTCAAGGACCGGTCAAGAGAGTCTTATTTATCTCTTGCAGCTCTGCTCTATCTTTTCATGCTCACCTCCCTGTTCTTAGATGCCTACAAGGTTAAATTCCATTCACTGAAAGCTGCATTGTGCATTTACAAGTTATGCTTTCTCAGAGTGTGTCAGTGGCCTACGTTTTCTGTGAGGGACCTTTGTGTGGCAGAATGGGCAATGCGCGCGCGAGGCCGTGGTCAAAAGGACCCGCTCTGAAACAGGTCATAGCTCAGGGGTTGGCAACCTTTTCAAACCAAAGAGCCAAACTACATCAAAAAAAATCAGAACAAGTGGTCAGCAAAGAGCAGTATAAGAATGCCCATTTGAATGACTGAAAATATTCAAATTAATATTATTGATAATTGACATGATGATTAATAGCAAAAATGAAACATCGTACTCACAGACTTTATTTAATAGGACTTGTGCTGCTGGGGGTGCAGAAGTCAGGGTTGGGATGTATGAGGGGCTGAGGGCAGGGGCTGGGGTGTGTGGGAGGATCAGGAGGCAGGGAAGGATGCTGGGGGTGGGAAATAGAGTATGTGGGGGGGAAGGGGTTGGATTACTTTACCTTGCCAGGGCTGGGCTGCTGCACCCAGGCAACAGTGACTGGACAAGGGGCTGGGACGGGATCGCTGCAGCAGGAGGGGGACAGCCACCAGCCCTTCCTATGGCCAGATGGGGGCTGGACTAAGGATGTTAACTGGGTAATCAAGTAGCCATTACAATATGTATTGGCTACACAATTAGTTGTATAAGGGAAGGCGCTACCCTCACTGTGGCTCTGCAGTCCACGTGTAGTAAGAGCCAGGTGTGCAGGCAGCCCAGCTCCTACTACATTTAAACTGCAGAGACAAAGCAGGGGAAGCTCCAGGACCCAGCGTGAGCTGGGATTGTTCAGTCCGGATCGCGCTGGATCCAATAACCCCTGTCTATGGGGAGTCCCAACTCCCTGCTGGGACCGCCCCTCAGACAGGGGTTGCTGCTGGAGCAGCCTCCCATAGCCCCCACCCCCCACTGCTGCATCAGACAGCAGCACGGGCGATGGGGTGGAAGACGGCACCACGGAGACAGTGCTGGGGGAAACCAGCTTGAGAGCCGACTCCCCCTAGCACCGGCTCCTGCTCCCTCTCCCTCTTAGTGCCTCTAATAGAGGGAGGAGAGAGAATGAGAGTAGTCCATTTGACTACTCTTTTACGTTCCTAGGCCGGACCGCAGGGCCTGCCCCAGGATTGAGGCTGGGGACAGGATGCTGCAGCCAGATGGGGTCTGGGCCCCAGTTGGGGCCTTGTTGGATAGGCTTTATCTTAAATAAAGTAAAAATATTAGGGACCCTTTTTTGGGTTGGGGGCCATTAACCCACAGAAAAAAAAATCAGTCAGTCAGGGTCCACAAAAAAAGAACCAGTCCCCTCCTCCCCCCAAAAAAAACTACCACCACATGCCTAAAAACTCCCAACCTTCACTAATGTGGCCCCCAACCTCACTCCCCTGGTGCCCCATGGTGGGGGGGATGGGCAGGCAGGACAGATTCAAGGCTTAAGATTAACCTTCTGGGGTTCCAGAGTTAGTGGATTCTGTGGGATCCCGAGCTCTAGGGTGGGGCCAAAAATAAGGGAGGGAGCAGGAAAAAGGGAGGGTGTAGAGTCTGGTCAGGAGGGAGGGTGCAGGAGCAGACTGGATGTGTCTGGGGGGGATCTCGTGAAGGGGATGACTAATGGGGATGCATGGGAGGTTGCAGGGTCTGGGCAAGAGGGAAAGGGGGAGCACTTACTTGCTTTTGTGCCCCATGCCAGTCCCAGGCATGGCCTTCTGCTGCTCCCGTTGGCTGGATTCTAGCCAATGGGAGCAATAGGGAAAGCCTCCAGGAAGCTCATGCATACAGTGCTGTTCCCCCAGCCAGGTAAAGGAAAGCAGCAACATGCACATCTGCCTTTCCCCACTCTGTCCCCACAGGAAGACAGCACTGGCACTCCAATCCTGCATTATTCATGTGTTCCTGTTTTCCCATAGGTAAAATGCAGATAATGCTTTTTACAGGCATTTTGCAAATATTAATTAATGAATCCAAAGAGAAGAGCTGTTATACCCCATGTATATATTTTAGTATGTAATCATCCAAACAAGCTGTACTGGTTTCCATCTGATGTTTTTTGTTTTGACAGCATCAGCACACTAACTAGCTTTGTGCTTGTCTTATTAAGAAAACATTCTTTATGACTAAAATAACCTAGAAGTTTTAAAAGGTATGTTGCAGCCATGTGATGAGTTTTATCTGCTTTATAATGGCAAAAGGTGCTGCACTATAGTGTTGATATTTAAGTTGTCCTTGCAAATAATTTTACAGACAGGTGGTAGTGACTTCTATATTTATGTTGCTTAAGGCTTTGTATAAGATTCTAGTGACCTCTTTTTGAGATGCTTTAACACCTATGTTGTATGGAGTAAGCCCTTGGATTAGAGTAGTGCCTTTTCTCTATCCTGTGAAATTCTGTTTAGTTTTGCTGAGCTCCAAACTTAAAATCACCATTTTTCTTGTGTCACTTGCATTGCTGCCAACATTTTTCTGAGCATTTCAAAATAATGTCTGAATATGAACAGTTTAAACCAGGCCCATGTCACTAAAGCAGCAACAGTGGGGACTGCAGTGGGAAAACCTGAGTGCCTCTAGAACAGCTGTAATAGTGGGAGTGGGAGGACAGAGCCTAGCCAATCTTATCCACTGATTTTTCCCATGTGACTTTCCCAACTCACTTTGGTTCTCAGCATCAGGGTCTATACTCTTATTTATTTATATATATATATGAAAGGGGTGCAGTGAAGATTTGCAGTTATATACACATGCTATATTACAAAGCTAGCTTATCTAAAAATATGTGGTCTTTTAGGAGAAGAAATATAGGAGGTAATTATAGATTTAATTATTTGATTTTCTTTTAGGAACTTGAAAGAGAAATTACATTTCAGGGTGACAGTGCCATTTATTACTCATTTTATAAAGAACTGCTAAAGGCTCCTTCCTTTGAAAGAGGTATGTATGACAAATGCTTATTCTAGTCTTATCTATATAGGTTTTTATACCATGCTTATCAATCTGAGTTCCTTCCAGTAGTACATTAAGCAGCACGAGAACACATGTGTCATGTGTTGTTTGTTTTCTCATCCTCTCCCCAAAGGGAGATGCATATGCAGTGGAGTGTCTTTTTTTAGTAGTGTTGTCTCTTAAAAAGAAATATATAAAATGAAATATACCAGTTAACTGGTAGGGGCTGGAGCTGGTCTCTTCCCCATCCACCCTCCCTTTAATTGTTTAAACTTATTGTTTAACCACATAACTAATTAAACAGGATTTTACATCCCTAGTCTTGGACTGCCCTGGAGATAGTCTCCTACACAAACAAACATTACTTTTTCTGTTGAGGGTTCTATAGTGTCAGAGGAGCATAGTTGTTGACAATATTCTTTGTTCTGTAGCTTTAAACAGTCCTTTTATGTATTTATTTATTTTACATGTATTTATTAATCTCAAAGTCCTTTTTTTCCCCCTTTGAGAGAGTCAAAAACTCTTGTAGACTAAGAGAGTTGGTTTTAGACTCCTATATTGGTATAAGGGTCAGAATAATTAAGAATTACTAACTGAACATTTTCTGAACTTTACAAAATATAATCTCATATCCACCCTATATTCCTTTGAGCCACTTTAGTTTACTAATGGTGTTAATTGAAATTAATCTGATTCTGACACTAACCTGTATGTAAATAAATTCTGATTCCCATTTGTGAAGTAGTTGCCCTGTCTTCTGGAAATTATGCAGGTATGTTTGTTTGTTTGATAAATACACGTCCTTTTGTAAAAGATGGTGATGATCTTTAATTTTTCAGTGGTTTTCCCCTTTCTGATTTTCATGCTAACATCAACATTTGATTAAGAAAAATACAAACCAAAGTCCATTGTTTGGGAAGGATAAATTGTATCAAGTAATAGTTTAAAAACCATGTTCTATATTAGGAACTTAATAGTTTATTTACACTTTTGGCAATTAATTAGGACTCTACATTTAAAGGCTAGCTCATGGGATGTTTATGAATGGAAATAACTTAATGCTACCTTCCTCAAAATTATCAGACTGTGGTTGCATTTAGCACAGTCCTTTCTCCTTTCTTTTAAATTGTGTGGGTGTATTAGTAGTTTGAAGTCTGATCTACTGCCATCTTGGTCTGACACTACTGTTGTCATTCCTACAATCAGAGTAAGTGATTTTAGAACAAAATCTTTTCTGCCTTCAGGTGTTTATGAGCTGACACACAACAATAAAACAATCTCTCTGAGGACTTTAAATGCAGTGCAGCAAATGACTTTGTATCCCGAATTGATTGCCAGTGTATTATATCAAGCATCTGGTAGTGAAGTAGGTGCATCTTTTCTGCTTTGCTTTTATTTTACAGTATATTACAGGTATGACGTTTTGTTTGCTATGTGTGTTGAAAGGACATGGTCTGAGCACAACACTGGGATCCTGGATCTACTGAGCTCTAATCCAGTCTCTGACATAGGCTCTCTGGTCTAGTCTATGCTAGACGTGTAAAGAAGTAAACATTTGTAGACTGTTTCAAAGGTGCGGGGCGGGCCCACACTAGTCTTTGCATATGTTAACTTCTTGAGTTAATTGACAGTCAATTTGTATGTCTACAGAAGTTTGTTGCAGATATATACCCCATGTGACTTTGGGCAGATCACAAAAGGAGGATAAAATAATATTTTGGAAAGGACTTTGAAATCTAAATCGACCATGCCAATTTAAATTGTTTCTGCAATATAGGCTAGAAGGCCCTGCACAGTCTAGCCAGGTTCTGTTTTGAGCAGGTGTGCACTTCTGTTTTATCTTCATAACAGTTGGTTGAGGGGATGATTATTTTTCCCATTCACTAAAACATCTAGGCTGTGTCTAGACTGGCCACTTGAATTTCCGCAAAAGCACTGACGATCTCATGTAAGATTGTCAGTGCTTTTGCGGAAATACTATGCTGCTCCCATTCGGGCAAAAGTCTTTTTCCGAAAAACTCTGCAGTCTACACTGGCCATTTTGCGCAAAAGATTTGTTTTCCGCAAAAAAGCCCAGATCGTGAAAATGGAGATCGGGGATTTTTTGCGGAAAAGCGCGTCTAGATTGGCCACGGATGCTTTTCCGCAAAAAGTGCTTTTGCGGAAAAGCGTCCTGCCAAACTAGACGTGCTTTTCCGAAAATGCTTTTAACGGAAAACTTTTTTGTTAAAAGCATTTCCGGAAAAACATGCCGGTCTAGACGTGGCCCTAGCGTAGATTTAGCTATCTTGGTAGAAAGGTGCTATACAAACGTAGTTTATTTTGGTTCCCAAACTGGAACAAGTATACCGGTATAACTGTGACCTGGTCTGCAGTACAAATGCTTTGCCATTATAGCAGTACCAGCCAAACCCTGTAGTGTAGACACAGCTGTGGCAATAGAAGGTGCTTTTTTGTTGGCATAGTAACATCACCTCCTTGAATATTTTGTGGACAGAAGCACTTTTCTGTCAACATTGCTGCATCTGCACAGGATTTTGCTGCATAATATGTTGGCTGGAGGGTATGGTGTGTGTTCACACTCCTCACCAACTGAAAAATTTTTTGTAGTGTAGACCTGGCTTTCTCCTATGTGTTTTTTGGGTGTGCGTGCAGAGAACTTAATCAGTATAGATTAGGAATGTTAAAAAGCATGAAAATGTCAGTGGTTGCATGGTTACACATGAGGCGGTAGGCAGCTCCCTGGGAGCCTGCCACCCCATTCTGCTGTCTGATACAGAAGCAGCAGTGCAGGATGGCAGGCAGCTCCCTGGGAACCGGTGCGTGCCAGGAGTCTGTGTGTAACCGTGAACTTTAATCGATGAGCCCAGGCTCATCAGTTAATCATGTACGCTATTGCACGTTCATATCCCTAGCTACTGGAGGAGCTTATTTGTCTGTAAAGTATCTACCACCCTGTTAGCAATATATGCATAGTGAATAGTCATAATTTGGGGCAATGTAAGCTAGTGAATGAGCTGCCTGAGTGTCCCTCCTTCATCTCAGTGAAATGCAAGATTGTCATAACTAAGATGGTCTACCAGGATAAGATGGTTTTCCTAAGTGTACCTACAATTTGCAGGGTGTACTGAGTGAACCATAGCAGCACTTTGAATACAGAGTACGGATGTTAAAATGACTTTATTTTAGTAAACTCGTTTAAAAAAGTGGGGGGAAGCAGCAGTGGGAGGGGAGGGGCATGTGGGAGCTGGCTGAAAAGACGGTTCTCTGTGTGTACTGACTCCCTCAGAGGTGCATCTCCCCTTCCCCAGTGTAAATGTGTAACCGCTGCAAACTTCAGCGGTTACATCCAGGGATGGGCAATAATTTTTGAAGGGGCGCACTTCACAAATTTCAGAAGTGGCTGCGGGCCGACTTGGAAGGGGTGAGGGTTGAGAACTACCCTGTTGGGAGCTTTGTTTAGCCTGGGGTCCCTGCCCCCTGATTTCGGGCCAATGGAAGGGACCTGGAGCAGATGGGAGGGTGCTGGGGGCTAGCCTCCTCCCAGATTTGTCTGGGGTGGAGGCTTAGAATTCATTTAACATTGCTGGCAGCTCCTGGCCCAGCTACTAACCTGTTGCCTGGCAGCTGCCCAGCAGGCACAAGCCCTTTGAATAGAAGCAGTTGAAAGAGCTCGTGCCTCCTGGGCAGCTCCTAGGCAATGGGTCAGTGGAAACGAGAGCTGGGAGCCCTTTCATTTGCGTCTGTTTAAAGGGCTTGTGCCTGCCAGGTGGCTTCTAGGTGACACAGCTGCTTAACAAGAGGTGGCGTGCCGAGATTTGACTTATTCACCTCTATGTACAGGTCTGAGTGCTGGTGATACTTTTTAAGGTCAATAGTAATCCTACTTACAACAGCTTCATTAATAAATAAAGATGCAGATCTTACCTTTTAGTGCAGGGGTTGGTAGCTTTTTAGAAGTGGCGTACTGAGATTTAACTTTCCCACGGATCTGTGTGCCGTGGGTAGGAGGGGGGAAGAGAGGCAAGGGCAGACTGGGTACGGTGATCTTATTTTCTGAACCAGTTGCAGCTAGTGAGAACCGTTTAATTTAAATAATGAAACAGTTTAAGTGTTTTAACTTTCTCATGTTAGTTTATCAAAATTCATTTTAAATAAAGTAAAATATTATGTCGAACACAAAAGGTTTCCATGTTTTTTTATTTATGGCAGGTGTGTGGAACCCTTTTAGGGTTGGGAGTCACTGACACTCAGAAAAACCAGTTGGGGTCCACATAAGTCAGAAGCAAAAAAACCTCCGACAGGGTTGAGAGCTACTCTGCTGGGTATGGTGAACTTATTTTCCGAACCAGCTGCAGCTAGTAAGAACGGTTTAATTTAAATTAGGAAATAGATTAAGCGTTTTAACTTTCTGAGGTTAGTTTATCAAACTTCATTTAAAATATTTTCTTTATTTATGGCAGGGATGAGGAATCTTTTTGGGGGTGGGGGTCATTGACCCACAAAAAATCAGTCAGGGACCACACAAGTGAGAAGCAAAAAAACTCCTCAAAAAATCCCCCAACACTCACTGATGTGACCCCAACTAAGACACCTCTCTCCTCTGGTGCCCCAGCCTCAGGGGTGAGGGGAAGGGAAGGGAGGGACCGAGGTTCAGGGCTTCCTATAGACCAGATTTACTTTTCTGGGGTTCTGGAGTTAGTGGATTTTATGGACCTCCTTAGGCTCTGGGGTAGGAACAAAAATTAGGGGTACGGTGCATGAGACAGAGCTTCCAGCAAGTAGAACAGGGATGGGGTGCAGAAGCAGGCTGGGAGTAGGGTTTCTGGCCAGGTGGAGGGTCCAGGAACATGGGAGGATGTTGGAGCAAGCTGGTCTGGGGCCGGTCCTGGAGGCTGTAGGTGCTGCTTCTGTGGCCACGTGGTCCCAGACCGTGTGGCCATGGAAACGGCACCTCCAGCCTCCGGGGCTGGTCCCGGTGCCCCTGGTCCCTGCTGAGGCGCCACTGAGAAGCCTCAGCCCCAGCACTGCCTCTTCCCACCACAGCCTAACCTACTGCAGGGAGGAGGGAGCGCTCTCCAGCGGCTGCACGAGGTGGAGGGGTGAGGCTGAGCTCCCTCTCCCATGCTGCTGAAATTCGCCACGTGTTGTAAGTTGCTGACCCCTGCCCTAGGGGGCGGGGCCTGGAACTGCCTCTTGGGCTGGATCAAAGCCCTAGGTGGGCCAGATCTGGCCTGTTGAGAGGCTTTTGCCCATCCCTGGGTTACATGTTTACCAAAATAAATGCACTTCAACATCCCTGCTCTGCATCCAATCAAAGTGCTACTCCAGTTCAGTCAGCACACCCTGCAAATTGTAGGCATGCAAGTTGCCAGCAGGGGAGAGATAGGTGGCTTTGTGGGAGCCAGTGTTTGTGGGGAGCCTCCTTAAATGCTAGCTGCCCATGAGCACCATCTCCAGCCTGCGCCTCCGTGCAGCGGGCAGTGGGGACTTGTGTGTAATCATGAAGGCTAACCGATGTGCCTAGGCTCATCAGTTTACCATTTAAATGTGTACACAGGAGTGCACAGTTCTCACAATATTGTTTGAAGTCAGCGCACACCCCATTTGATATTCCCTTGCTTTAAGTGCACGCCACTTTTTTGTAATATCGATAGGAAAAAAACTATGTTGACAAAAATCAGCAGAATCTAGCAGCCCTGCATGTGGGCTACGATGAACAAAATGTCTCATGGGCCACACATAGAACCCCAGTGGGCTTCATATGGCTCTTGGGCCGCAGGTTGCCCAACACTGATTTACAATGTCAACTCATTTGCTGCAATGTCTTTTCACTTTTATTTGTAATTTCAGGAGGTTATCGAGCCAATGTATTTCTACATTGGTATAGTTTTTGGACTGCAGGGCATTTATATGGCTGCATTGTTTGTAACCAGTTGGGTTATGAGTGGAACTTGGTTGGCTGGAATGCTGACTGTAGCATGGTTCATTATTAACAGGTAAGAAAAACACATTTTAAGTAATCTGGTTTGTCAGTAAAGCATTTTAAAAATCTTAGTAGAGCTACTCAGAACATTTCTGTTGAAATATTTTTTAAAAATATATTATTTCATAGAAGCTGAAACATTTTATGGAGGTATAGTGATTTCAAAGTTTTTGACGGGAAGGTTTTGAGGTGATTCTCTGGTCACAGAATGAGAGAGAGCAGATGTTTTAACAAAACTACATTTGGCAAAAATATTTGAAAAGTTTTGTTTTTGTTTTAGTGTGGAAGGGAAACAAATGTCAAAACCTTGAAAATTGTTGTGAAATGGAAATCTCATGCTCTGCCCAGCTTTAACTGTTTTGGGTGCAGTTTTCTTGATTTGAACTTCATGCCACGTGCATTTGTCTTCAAAGCCTCTTGCCTTTCTGAACTTACTTTCTGTTGCAAAGTAGAATCTCTTTAGAAGACTCTGGTACCCAGATTTGTTGTTGAATGAGTCACTTACCTGAACACTCCCTTCCTGCTCTGAATCTCATAAAAGTGTGTTGAAGATTTTAATGATGTGAACAGGCTCTGAGAGTAAATGATTGAACTTTTCTCCTAGCTTTGTCACTGGCTTACTATATATCTGTGATTTTTTTTTTAATTCGTTATAAAGTACTTTTAGATTCTTGGAAGGAAATAACTATGAAAGTGCAAAGTATTTAATAATGTACAATAGATAGAATCATAGAATCCTAAGGCTAGAAGAGACCTCAGGAGGTCATTGAGTCCAGAGCCCTGCCCAAAGCAGGACCAATCCCAACTTAATTATCCCAGCCAGGGCTTTGTCAAGATGGGACTTAAAAAGCTTTAGAGATGGAGATTCCACCCTAGAGGTTTTTAAGTAGATAGGGATGTTAAATTTAGATTAATTAACTAATTGAATAGTCAATGGGATTTCCATCGACTGTTCAATTAGTCTATAAGGGCTCCTCTGCCTTTGAACTTTGTTACAGTCAAAAGTGGAAGCCATGCAGGGAGCTTCGGACCAGAAGGGGACCCCTCTGGCCCCATGCTCCCATGTACATTTCAAAAGCAGAAACACTTCAGGGAGTGTGGGGGCATTGGGGACTTCTCTGTGGCCCCGTGCTCCCTGCAGCCTTTGAAATGTACATTGGGGCTCTTGTATATTTGAAAAGGAAGCCCCACAGGGAACATGGGACGAGTGGGAGGGACTCTCACTGGCCCCGTGCTCCCTGCGGCACCTGAGCCTTTGAAATGTACAGAATTGCAGCAGAAGAGGCACACATGGAGACTGCTTCAGTTCCCGCTTGTGCCGTTTCCACTGTGCCTCTACCTCCCCTTCCTGCTGCAGAGACAGTGCTGGGGATAACTGGCTTTTTAAGCTGGCTCCCCCCCAACACCAGATGCTGCGCTCCTCCCTCCCCCCCGCCCTTACTGCCTCCATCTGATAGAGGTAGCAAAGAGGGGGGGGGGGAGGAAGGAGCGATTAGTCACATGATTAGTTGACTAGTCTCTTACATCCCTAACAGTAGAACCTTGTTTACCTGACTGTCCATTATCTGTGTCTCTGTGCTGAACAAATAGCACACACAAGTAGAGAAGCAGACAGTCTCTTCGGTGGCGTCTAGATGGCACTGCAGGTGCACACTTTTCCAATCTCTGGATTATTCAAATGTTTTATTATCCAATCTGGACCTGGTCCTAATTAGATCCGATAAATGGGATCCTGCTGTGTTTAAGTTAAAATTGTTGAAAAGCATCTTCTTTGAGGAAAGGTATAAAGTCATCATTGTTCAACTGTGATCAGAAAATAAAAATGCTGGCTGGCTAAAGTGCATTAAGTAGAAGTGAAAGATAATTGTGAATAATCCATGTACAGTAAAACTCCAATAGTCCGGCACTGCTGATAGTCCGGCATCAAAATGGCAAGAGCCTAGTGAGTGAGCTTCGGCAAAAAATGAGTCACGAGGTAGCAGCAGCTGAACTGAGGAAAAAAGGGTAAAAAAGGCTTAAAAAACTAAAACATTACAGTATACTGTATACAGTATGTACAATAAAAAGGGCTAGGAACACTTTATATACAGTATATAATGTGTACAGTGTGTGTGTGTGTGTGTGTGTGTGTGTGTATGTGTATGTATGTGTATATATAAACCATTTTATAGTACCTCCTGATAGTCCGGCATATTTGATAATCCGGCACCCTTAGGTTCCGGATTATCGGAAGTCTACTGTATTTTCCATGAGCAAGCACAGTTTTGGAAATTGAAATCAAAAGTAAATACAGAGCTCTGAATGGACCACTGTGAGGGTATTTGAAGCAGCAAAAATGAGATGGGAGTAACATTTTTTTCAAAAGTGCCTACATTATTTAGCCATCTGAATACAATTTTGAAAAGTGGTTTAGGCATTTAGAAGCATAAATTTCACTGAAAGTCAGTGGGCCTAAGTTCTTCGGTGGGATTTAGGTATCTGTATTATTCAGCCATTTTTGAAAATGTTCCTCTGTGATTCAAGCTGTGTGGAAGCTTTTTAGTCACTGTTGGCAAGAAAATTCTAATACTTCTTTAGGCTTTGCACCCCATTAATCAGTAATCTCCATTTTATCAGCAAAAGTCTCAAAAGCAAGCAGACAATCAACTGTTGCTGGACTGTTGTTTGGTAATATTGCATAATTCCCGAGATGCAATTGAGATATTTTAAGCAGTTGAGAAAATACTTGTCTAAAAAGTATATTGTGTAATTGTTGAAAAGAATCTTAGTATATTTTCTGCCATAAACTATATTTATGGGCCCTGACCTACAAACCTTAGTCATCTAAGTAGTCCTGTTGACTACTTATATGCATAAAATGGCAGACTACTCATAGCTAAATAAAGATTTTAAGACCCTTCATTTCGACTATGTTAAACTTGTGACTTTTACCAATATTAAAACAGGTTTTTGTTTCTAGTAAATAATGCTGTGTATTAGTGCACCAGTAACAGAAATAATTTGATAATAGATATGTGATAACCAGAAGTGGTTTCCCATAATATTTTCATTCCATAAACAACTTAATCTGTTTTGTTCTTCTACACTTTGTTTTAGGACAGATACAACAAGAATCGACTACTCCATTCCTTTAAGGGAAAATTGGGCATTGCCATATTTTGCATGTCAAGTTGCAGCTCTTACAGGCTATTTAAAAAACAACATAAATTCTTCTGCTGAGGTAAAACACAAGTATTTTCTTAATAAAACGCAATTAATAGAAATGCTTTCCAAAGTAATTACATTTTTTATCACCTAACTGTCTTTCTAGGAAGAAAAAGAAGAGAAAAAATTGTTTGTTTTTTGCAAACCAGCCATCTGGTACATTTAGTTTCACTGCAAAATAAATCTTAGAGAACATCTAGACTGTGGCGCTATTTCAGGATACTGGAGGTATCTCGAAATAGCTATTCCACATCTTTTGAACCAGTCTGTGGGTTCGCTATTCCTATGTCCTTGTAACCCTCATTCCACGAGTGTTAAGAGATGTTGCGGAATAGTGATTTATTTCAAAATTAGATTGAAATAAGATATGCAATTGCATAGCTCACATTGCAGATCTTGTTTTGACCTACGGGTGCAGTGTAGATGCACCCTTAATATTACCATGGTGGAACAGTATGGGAATCAACCTTATAGTAATGCCAACAACTCTCTCACTTTTGAAACTTGTCAAAACTTATGTGGGGTGGGGCACATGTTTGGTGGTGGTAGTGGGTTTTTTTTGTTGCATAAGGTTATAGAGAATTGGTTTCTTTCTTAGCTTCTTAACGCCATGGTGACATTTCAAAGGGGCAATGCCGAACAGAGCCCGGGATCAGCTGTGTGGTGCCACCCCTTTGAAACGCCACCATGGCCAGTGCCGCCCTATCGACTAATTGAATAGTCAATGCAAAAATGCATCGACTATTTGATTAGTGAATTACACGCTACTTAACATCCTTCTGACATGACTCGTATGATTTTGATTGCTTCATATATGACCTCTCCTCACTGAAAAAAGCTAACCTGGGGCAAAGAAAAAATCAGCTAGAAAAATGTGTTGCTTGTCATTAAGACTCCTTACCATGCCTTCCCTGACCGTCTAGTGCAAAGAAAATGAAGCCACCTTCTGAGAAAAAATAATTGTTCTTAATTAAAACATCAGTTCATTAATATCTCAGTTTTTCTTATGGCAGAAATACATGATAATTAAGGTAATGTCCTTTTGTGTTTCCTTAGAGGTTTTGCTACCTTTTGGTGAGTGCTTCAACATATACGTTCATGATGATGTGGGAGTACAGTCACTATCTGCTGTTTGTTCAGGCTGTCTCTCTCTTCCTGCTGGACAGCTTTGCTCTTGTGCAGACAGATAAGGTATTATGACTTAAAACTATTGATGATTTATTGGAAGCTTGCATTAAACAGCTACAGTAACTGCAGTGATTTGTTTCCACAAATTCCAAAGGGCTTGGATTATTTCTGTTTGTGAGTTAGAGCCAAACTGGAGTCCAGCTAAAGTGTACATAACACTAGTCCTGAGAGTAAAGTGACTTTAAGCTAATCTTTACACTCTTCTCTTCTGAGAATCAGAGTTTGGTAGGGCCTTGTCTTCTGGCATAGAACAGTTTGAGGTTTAGAAAGGGTCTGATGGCTTCTCTAAAACTCACTCTCTGTAACACTGCCTCCTCTTAAAAAGGGGAAGTCTGAACTTTAGCCATGAATTAATGTACAGCCACATGTCTTTTGCTCTGACAAGTTCCCCTTTTCTTTGGGAGCAAGGAGGCGCCTTGGGTTTTGTCTGCTGCTCTATGCTACTGGAAACTAACCTTTGCATTGAATGATTCTCCACCTGCAGTTTAGCAGCCTTTATGACTGGATAACTTATGTAACCAGGAGGTTCAGTAGGGGAAAATATTTAAAGTTTGGAGCTACTCTGAAAAATGACTGAATATAAAAAAGAATACTCTCTCTTGTTTAGATTCTTGTACTATACTCCTTAGCATGGTATGTTTGTGCCTTCCAGATTTCAAAACAAAATAAAAAAGTAAATCTCTTCCCTTCCCATATACAGAGTGACTTATATCAACAAATTAGCTTCCTTTCCATTCCCCCTTAGTGAGGAATAAGTTATGCACACCGGCTCTTACATGGCTTTAGTCTCAAACGGATGGGACCATGTTCTGGTCCGTTGAAGAAACCACTGTATTTAAAATACACATGGTAAATTCTTTCATTGTATATTTGCATAAAGAATTGTGTGTGACCAAATGCTGCATGCTGAACTACCCATGTTTACCCATGGGTGAATAATCGTGAGCAAGATGTAGTACTTACATGTGAACATTCTAAGTTTTGTCACATGGTCAGGTGATATGGAAGTGAAGCAGAAGGAGAAAAGTCCTACACTTTTACAAATGTGTATTAAGTCACTGAGCAATAATTATGGAATCCCACGAACACTGCTTTTATATAGCCATCTTTCAGAGGCATGTCTCTTGATGGGAGGACAGGTTCGGCTAGAGTCTGTCGTCTTCAAAGTCAGGTTTGCAGAGCAACGCTGTTTACATTATAGGTCCTTAAATTGGGGGGTACGCCCCTTTTGGAGGATGTGAAGAAATTTCAGGGGGGGGGTGTGAGGCAACCCAGCCCCCCATTCCCCGGCAATACCCCCCCCCCAAGAAAGAGCCCGGTCTGTCCGGTAAAAAAAATTCAGAAAATACTATGTGAAATGTCCAGTATTTTCTGTTTTTCCTGGCTCAGGCGTCCGCCGGAACACGCACAGCTCAAGCTGGCTGGGGCCGGAGGGAAGATGGAGCATCCCAGGCAGATTTCAAAATGGCCACCTTAAAAGGGCAATGCTGTCTCTGCTCTTAGAAGGGCAACTTTTTTGGTTTTTTTGGGGTCAACAACTTTTCCCCTGGAGTACCGGCACTTTTTTTATTATTATTATTATTATTATTATTACGCTGGTCCCAGTAATTAAAGGGAGCCACAACTGTTTTTCAACCTCAGTCAGTTCCTTTTTTTTCCCCCTCTTTTTCTTCCTCAACAAGTTTTGCTGCTATTTTTTGGAGGAGGGGGGGCGTGAGGATTTCTCAAAAATCAAAAAGGGGGCATGATGCCGAAAAGTTTGGGAACCACTGGTTTACGTTTTACATGGTCCAATCAATTTTTGCAATAGACAAAGATGGAACCACTTTTAAAATACTGAATTCTTAGGATTGTGCAGTAAAAGGATTCACAGGTTGCTTACCTGTTTTTGTTCCACTTTTTTGTAAACAAGGAATGAGCTATAGGTTATTTTATTTTTATTTTTTTCCCCCAACAGGTGCATGAAGTGTACAAAATCTATCTGTTCTCTCTCTTCCTGGGATATCTCTTACAGTTTGAAAATCCAGCTTTATTAGTATCTCCATTACTAAGCCTTGTAGCAGCTTTAATGCTTTCTAAATGCCTTCAGGTAATTGGGATATTGTTCTCTAATTTGGTGCATAGTTTTTGTTGTTTACATTGAACTCCAAATAATACACATTTTAAAATATTTATTTTTGCAGATGAATATGAAAAAGGGCACATTTATTTCAAGGATGCTAAAAATAATGTACTTTTACTTGGTATTTACGCTAACAGTGACAATGAATTTCTTACTGAAGGTAAGATTTACCTTTAGAAAGAGACATTTAATTGAATGAGGTTCTCCATGGAGGGATGCAATTATGTCTTTAACAAAGTAATTTTAGCAAAATAACCTTTTCAAATATGTGAAGATGTTATTGGTCTAAGTTAATGGAAAATAGAATAATTAAACCTTTAGCCACTTTTGTTTTACAGGGGAAATTAACAAATGAGGGCTGTCAGTTATTCACAGTTAATTCAATTGATTAATGCAAAACAAGTTAACTACATTTAAAAAGTAGTCTTGATTAATTACAGGTTTAATTACATTGTTGTTCAGTAATAGAATATCAATTTAAAATTACTACAAATATTTTGGATTATCTTCAAATACATTGATTTTAATTACCAACCCAATACAAAGTGTACAGTACTCTATATTGTTTTTATTACAACTATTTGTACTATAAAAAAGAAAAACAAAGTAAATAGTATTTTTCAGTTGACTTCATACAAGTACTGTAACTCTCTCTCTATCATGAAAGTACAATATACATATATAGAATTGTGTGAGCATAGTTATTACACACAAACTCTGAGGGTACGTCTAGACTACATGCCTCTGGCAACAGAGGCATATAGATTAGAGTACCCGGCATAGGAAAATGAAGCAGTGATTTAAATAATCGCCGCTTCATTTAAATTTACATGGCTGCCGTGCTGAGCCGATCAGCTGTTTGTCGGCTCAGCGCGGTAGTCTGGACGCGCGGGGGTCGATATCAAAGGCATTTGTTGACCTCCCAGCTATGCCTCCTGGGATGAGGCATACCTGGGTGGTCGACAAATGCCTTTGATGTCGACCCCCCGCGCGTCCAGACTACCGCGCTGAGCCGACAAACAGCTGATCGGCTCAGCACGGCAGCCATGTAAATTTAAATGAAGCGGCGATTATTTAAATCACTGCTTCATTTTCCTATGCCGGGTACTCTAATCTATATGCCTCTGTTGCCAGAGGCATGTAGTCTAGACGTACCCTCAGAGTTTGTGTGTAATAACTATGCTCAAAACCGAAACAATGTAAATCTTTAGATCTTACAAATCCACTCTATCTTACTTCTTGTTCAGCCACTCACAAAGACAAAAACATTTGTTTACACTTACAAGTTAAATTACCTGCTTTCTATTAACAATGTCACATGAAGTGAGACTAGCTGTTTGCATGACACTGTGAACTGAATTGAAAAATACTATAATTTTTGTTTATATTTTTACAATGTAAATATTTGTAATAAAAATAATAGTATAAAGTGAGCATTTTGCATTTTGTATTCTGTGTTATAATTGAATTAAATATATTCGGAAATGTAGAAAAAAATCCCAAAATATGTATACTTTTCAGAGGGGTAGTAGTGTTGTTCTGTTTCAGCAAAAACAGTGAGAGTCCTGTAGCACTTTAAAGACAAATACATTTATTTGGGCATAAGCTTTCATGGGATGGCACCCGCTTCATCAGGTGCATCTGATGAAGTAGGTTCCAGCCCATGAAAGCTTATGTCCAAATACATTTGTTAAAATATTTATAATACATTTAAATTGGTATTCTATTATTGTTTAAATAATTGACTAAAATTGTCATTATTCATGGCTTTTTTAAATCTCTTGATTTAATTTTTTAATCATTTGACAGCAGTAATATAAATGTGAACAAAATGAAAATGTGTAGTTACCTCTCGTAATTTAAGTATTTTTATCCAAAATACTAAAACCTTTTGGGTCAAAACTAAAGCCTAGTCTATTCCGACATAGAAGCAATCTGTGAAAAGAGCCAGCAACAAGAAACAGATGTGAGACACTTTAAGGTAGACATTAATTCTCAGTTTCATCTGAAACTTGGGAAAAGGGAATCTTTTAGTGGGAATCATCAGAGTCTGGGGTATGATAGTGGGATTTTGCTTTGGCTTGATCTTAATGTTTTTTGTGACTAAAGTACTACTTCTAAGCCAAGTCCTTTAAATAAAATCCTGCACTCCCCTCCTAAATTCTTATTGGGTGTATTACTCTAGATAAAAACAAACAAAAACCCCCTTCAATACTCTCAAGATTTGTGAAGGAAGATTCAAATTCCATCCTCTGCTTGCTGCATTCAGCCCAAATCTTATTCTCTTGAAGCTACAGAAAAGTTGGCCAATTTTATAAAATGCGTGAGCTGAATTATCTAGACCAGTGGTTCTCAAATTTTTGTACTCATGACCACTTTTACATAGCAAACATCTGAGTGCAATGCCCCCTCTTATAAATTAAAAATGTTTTAATATATTTTACACCATTATAAATACTGGAGGCAAAGTGGGGTTTGGGATGGAGGTTGACAGCTCCTGACCTCCCCATGTAGTAACTTTGCAACCCCCTGAAGGATCCTGGTGCCCAGTTTGAGAAGCCCTGATCTAGGAAAAACAAAGTGAGTTAAGAAAAGAGTGTGAATACTAAGGGAAGTAGTTTATATGAAGGTCTCTGAAACACTCACAGCTTTTGTTTGAGCCAGAGCCTAATTGACCAGGGGAATCAATTACCATCCTCTTTGGTTTGCTCTCTGCTGGGATTATACCATGTTTGCAGTTTTCCTTCCTGCTAGTGGCTAGTCAGGTGGAAGCTGGCTGACAGCTGTCCACTCTTCTCTCCATTAGGAGTATCTGAGTGAAGTGATACTCCCTAGGGCATTCTGTGCCAAACAATTGAAAATTCTGCACACAGTATTTGAAAATTCTGCAAGTTTTATTTGTCAATAAATAAATGCAGAAGCTCCAGCACAGCAATGGGAAGAACAAGCCATTGACTGCATAAAGGAGGAAGATCAAACTGCTGACCCTTCACTTTCCACTCCCAGAACATGTAGTTAGTGGTGAGACTGAACACAAACCTGACATGGATTAAGACCTGGGCCTGCCTCAGAAACACCTTAGGACCTTGTCCATCTGTGACTAGGTGTGATGCAGGTAGGCTCAAATAGGCAGGATCTAAGTGTGGACGAGTTGAGTATGGGGTATGAGGTGAGAGGGCTTTCTGTGGGACAATCTGGGTACAGGTAGTTGAGTGGGAGGGTCTACGTGAGGGGGGATATGGATGCCCAGAGGCTCATTGGGGGATGTTTCTAGGTGCAGGGGCAATGGACCTCTGAAGAGGCTTCCAGGTGAAGGTGGTTGGGATTCAGCAGAGGGGAGTGGGTACTCAGGGAATGAGGTTTGGTGTGATGGGAGCCTGGGTGCAGCTAGTTGTGGGTCAGTGAGATGGGGTTTAGATATGGGGACTCAGGGTGATGTAGGGGTGTGGAGATCATCAGGGAGTCTGTTAGGAGGTGGTCTGGGTGCAGGGAAGCTCCAGATGCAGGGGCTGAGGTTCAGTGGAGTGGATTCAGTTATGAAAGTCTTGAGAGATTCTGGATGTACCAGGTGAGACTTGGCAGGAGTGTCTGCACATGGATGGTCCAGATGCACAGGGAATGAGTGGATAGAGGAGCAGTTTCACATACAGTGATCCCCTCATCCACATCTGAGCAGTGATGGGGGCAGGAAGCAGGGGAAGATTCTGAGTTTCTTGCAGCTGGAGGCAATCTGACATAGCCCGAGCAGCTCCTTGAAGGGGAAAAGGAAGTCTTTTCCTTTCTGGCCTCTAGCCCAGCTGGAACTAGCAGCTGATTCTAGCTCAGGGTAGAAATCCCCGACTGGGGTGTCCCCAGTCCTGTGGTGATTTACTTCTCAGCTGGCTGCTCTGGATGCCTAAAGCCATGTGCCTGTATGGCTAGGGAATGGTACACAACTGTTCTTGCAGCTTCCCGTTGCTTCCCCATGTGATGGCGCGTTGGGGTTTCCCCACTCTGGCTGGGAGGCAACTGGTTTGACAGGTTGAGTGACTCATCCACTATCCTGCTGGGCCATGCTATAAATAGCTGCCAGTGGAGGTCGCCCACTGCCCAAGTCTAGCAACCAGCAAGGCACCCCTACCACATCACGCTGGGTTACAGAGCAGACAGCACGCCCCCACTACGTCACACCTCGTCAGAAAGTAATTTTTTCTGTGGGAAGCAAAGAAATCTGGAGGACATGAATTCTATGCATACACAGTGGCACAGAATTCCCCCAAGAGTAAAGTGAAGATTATACAACTTTCTGGGAAACACTAAGCAAAAAAAGTGAACTTTTACTGAATTATGAAATTCCTGAACTGATGACAGCTTTGTTTTAGTTATATTTTTGGGGTGTATTGTTATTCCCTGCACTGCTTCGTAATCTGAAAGAAAAGAAGGATGTGTTACAGGTGTTACTTAGTTACCTTCACTTAACTGTTTTTCAGACATTTATTCCCCATAAAGAAAATGAGCATGTGTTGAATTTCCTTGAAGTAAAATTTGGATTAAACACAACAAAGTAAGTTTGAGCGATTTATTTACAGCTGTCTAAAATACGTAGAATTTAAAATTACGTGGCATTTGCACAATGTGCTTGGGTTTTCTGGAATTTTGTAGTGCCATTTCCTGCAGCAAGGATAAAAGTTTCTGGTTGGGGTGTGTATATGTGTATGTATTTTTGTATACCTATGTGTAAATATAAATAAAATAATCATCCTACTTCTAACCAATATTTGTAGTGATATTCAGAGGCTAAGATGATGATGAGGAACCATGGGGGGCGGGGAAGGAGAGAGAGAGAGAGATCATTACCTCAGTAGTATTTTTGTAAGTAAACAGCGGGAATTATTGAAAATTTTGGAAAGTTTGTACAGCAAGGCACTGTAACCCTTACAATACTACTTCTACATTCCAGTAGTGGACATTGATTTCTAGCAATACGTACAATTAAGGAACATACTTTCTTCTTCAAATGGTATCCCTGCAGGTGCTCCACTCTACGTGTCAATGCATTCTCACTCTGGCAATTGGAGGTTTTTGTAGCACTGCCTTGCTGTGCTACCCATGTGCAGCAGTCGCCTCATGCCATTGTGTCCATTGACTAAGCACATGGCATGGCCCTCTCAGTTCCTTCTCTGTTGTCCTCAGCAGCTCTGTCTCATCCTCAGAGAAAGAGTTCCTTGGCAGTGCGACTCTCCTTCCTAGAAACAACAAAAACAGTTTGATTTATCTTCTTTTTGTTTATCTTATCTCTTGCCCGTTCTCACCTTATTCATATTAAAAAAAGAAAGACAAACCCAAACAAACAAAGCTTTTCTTTCCTCTTTCCCCGTCCCGTCCCTTTCCCCTCCTTCCCCCCACCCCATCCTCTTCTTCACCCTGGGATGAACCAGGCCCACGATGCACATCCCTGGTTCCAAAAATGTGACTCTTGCAGGGAGTCAGTGCCCATTTCTGATGGGCATTCCTCCTACGTTAGGTGCCTGGGGGAGGGCCATGTCTCCCAAAAATGTCCACATTGCTTGAATATGACCACCAGGGCCAGACATTACAGAGAGCTGAGGCTCAAGATGATCCATGGGACTTGAACCATGTTCTCACGAGCCACATGAGGCTCCCCCCCCCCCCCCCCGTCCTTAGAAACCTGTTCCCTTCTTCACATGTCAATGAAGTTTGCATTTCTGGTGGCGATTGCATCTGCAAGAGACGGGCGAGATCACAGACCTTATAGCTGATCCACTTTACGCTGTCTTCTCAAAAGACAAAATCATGTTTCAACTTTACCCCAAATTCTTGCCCAAAGTCACCTTAATTTCCATATCAGTAAACCTATACATCTCCCCACATTCTTTCACAAGCTGCATAGTAATGCTAAGGAAGCCTCACTCCACACTTTGGATGTAAGATGAGGGGGTGGCCTTTATTAGGACAGAATTAAACCATTATACAACTCTTATCGGACTATTTGTTTCTATAGCTGAATGAAACAAGGGCTCAGCTGTTTCTTCGCAACATCTCTCTAAATGGATATCTTTTTGTATCCAAACATGTTATACAATTCATGACAAATGTTCCTCACAAGGTGTTACGGCACATTCTACACACACAAGGGCAGCTTCAGCAGCATTCTTCAAGCAGCTTCAGCAGCATCCTCTCTCAATTATCTGCAGGGCAGCAACCTAGTCTTCTGAACACACATTTTACCCAACATTGAACTTTATAGCATGTCCCTATCCCCACTACTACTGTGTGATTTACTGTTCAATCTACCTAATGCTTTGGATACCAAAGCCCACCTCCATATACAATCACTGTTTTATAGTCACCTAGAGTGGAGCATCCACAGGGACACCTCTTGAAGAAGAGGAAGTGACTCACCTTGTGAAGTAATAATGGTTCTTTGAAATGTATGCCTCTGTGGGTGCTCCAATACCAATCCCCTCTACTTTGGAGTCTATCCATATATGATTCTATGGTAGAGAAGGAATGGAGGGTGCCGCACACATGCAATCAGCGGAAACAATGGCACAAGGCAACAGCTGCGCATACACGGCAAGGCACTGCTAGCAAAAACTTATGATCACTGGCGCAAAGATGCATCGACACCTAGAGTGGAGCAGCCGTAGGGACATACATCTCGAAGAACCATCGATGCCACACAAAGTAAATAACTACTACTTCTCTGTTCTCTAACTGAATTTGTCATAGGAAGGAGGGATTGTCAAGGTATTAAGACCCAGGACTGGAACTTGGGAATTCCATGTTTTTTTGTTTTTTTTTCTTGCCTGTACTATAACCTTTTTTTCTTGGCTGTACTATAAGCTATCTATGTGATCTCTGACAAACTAGCTCAGCTTTCAGTTTTGTTCTCTATGAAATGGGAATAAACACACTTTCTTGACTCAAAAATAAGTTTAGGTTTAATTCATTGATAAGTGTGATTCCCTGGAACTAAGTTTTTAGAAATGTACGAGGGTAAGTCAAAAAGTATCTGCAATATATTTATTAAAATTAACACAACAGCAATACAGAACTCGTAAGTGTATTATTTTTCAACATAGTTCTCCTGCTTTTCAACACACTTGGTCCAGCATCACACAAGCTTTTGTATGCCTTCAGAAAAAATGTTTTCAGCGGGGCGGCAAGCCATGTATGCACCGCCTCCTTCAAATCATGGTCACTGGCAAAATGACAGCCTAGTAAAGCATCTTTGAGGGGTCTCTCTGACATTTGCTTTCCGGCTCATAGTAGTGGATCCACGTTTCATCACCAGTGATAATGCGACTCAAAAAAGCATCACCTTCCTCATGATACTGGTTCTCAAAAGGCGGTTACAGGTGTCCAAACAGTTACATCTGTGCTGTTCTATGAGTTGTTTGGGAACCCACCTTGCACATAGTTTACTGAAGTGAAGTTTGTGGTGGATGATTTCATAGGCAGAACCGTGACTAATCTGCAGTTGGTTTGCCACTTCGACTGTTACCCTCCTGTTTTCGAGAATCAGCATGCGGACTTGTTCAATGTTCCTTTTAGTAGTCAATGTGGATGGGCACCCTGATCGTTCTTTGTCAGTGACACTTGTTTGGCAATTTTTTAACATGTCAGTCCATTCGTACACGCTTTACTATGGCAAAACACTGACACCGTACTATGCTGATAGTCTTCGATGAATTTCTGCACCTCATACACCTTCAGCCCACAAAAATTGAATCACTGCACGCTGCTCTTTTTTGGCGCATGTGGTAAGTGGAGCGGCCATGTTGACCCCATTAGTGGTGAAAGACATCTGAACAGTCAAGGCCAAATATGTCACTATAATATAGGGAGGTTCCATGCCTACGGCTGCGTGCGAATTCAGCAGTTGGGCTAATCGCAAAAAAAAAAAAAAAGAACACTTTGTGGATATTTTTTGACTTACCCTCGTATTTGTCTTTGTATAGAAGTGCCTATAAAATTTTGTAACCTGCTCTTTTCAGATCACAGAATATAGATTTAAAGGATGAGCTTGTGATTTTTTTTTTAAAAAGCATGCTTGTAAAAATTATATTTGAAAAATATTTATTATTGGGGCAGAAATATATTAATTGGAATTCATCTGAGCACATTAGCTAATAATTTCTTTTTACGTATGATATTTCTACCTTACTAGGAACTTTACAGTGAACTGGCTTCTTTGTCAAGAATCCCTTCAGATGCCATCTCAAGACTTTTTTTTGCGGTTAACTCAGTCATCTTTATTGCCTTTCTATGTTTTAGTATTAACTATCTGCCTTTCTTCTGTAACTCAAGTCATTTTTAGGAGAATTAGGTAAGTGGTTTATTTTTAGCACTTATTTTTTTTATTCAGCTGACTTCAGGATTATTAAATTATGTATAAAAGATATATTGTAATCTCTTGATAGACTAGTGTTTTAAAACAGTATAAAACATTTATGAATTTAGCCATAGCTTGATAGGAAATATGAGTGGAAGGGAGCTTTGTTGGTAATTCCCTGATAAGTAGTACATCATCCACCAATGCTGCCAGAAGAGAGAAGACTTAGATAAGGGGCAGGGAACCTCAAGCCTGGAAGTTTGATGTGGTTCCTGGCTTGCCTGGATCCAGCCCCCAGGGCTCCGGCCCCCCAACATTGAGGAGCCTGTGTTGGCACTCCAGCCCCCCACTGCTCCACCATGGGGCTGGAGCACACAAAATCTACTAGGCTGAGACCCCCCTAGGCTCTGGTGTGGGAGGAGAATGTGAAGAGTGTCTTTCTCCTTTTCAGTTGAGGGCCATGTCACTTGTGTGCAGCCCCCAACTGATTTTTCTGTGCTTGTGGCACCTGACCCAAAAAAAGGTTCCCTTTCCTTAGTTTAGATTTTTCTAAAGAGCTCCTTCTGTGTCAGCCTCTGATTAGTGTGTTTCTGGAAGAGAGAAGGGGGTTTCCACCCCTAGCTGCAGAGTCTCCTGCCACTGCAAGGGAATTTGTGTTTCTCTGGTACTTGCCTCCTCCACAACCTCCTGGCTGCCAGGAATAAGATGGAGGAATGGAAAGGATCTCCAATAGTCTGCCTCTTCTCTGTCCTTTTTTGGCCCCGGTCTCCTGAGATGATCCCGTGTCGTCATCTGCTTAGAGTAATAGTGTCCTGATTCCTTTCTTTCACTATAGCCCACAAGAGTATGAAAAAAAACAGTGGAACTGACTCATGTTCTCTTTGAGTGTATTTTCACTGTATTTGCATATTACTTTGATTGAGATATCTCACTAAAAATAGTGATAGCATGTCAGCTGAGGCAATTGCATGGGTTAGTCAGCAGAGTACAAGCCTTCCTGGATAGACACTAAAGTGTCTAGCCCAGAGGTGAGCAATAATTTTTGAAGGAGGGAGCACTTCACAGATTTCTGAAGGAGTCCCGGGGATGGGCTTTGGATGGATGGGGTGGGGCCAGGAGACTTCTCATGTTCCCTTGCCCACAGAATCTGATTGGCCTGAGGGTGGGGGAGCATGTGAGTCATCCCCCTCTCCCCCCCCCCAGTGCCTAGAGAGAACTGCTAGCTGTTTAGAACAGCTGGCGGGTCCCTCTGTTGCTGCACAACCCTGGTGAGGGAGGAGACTTAGCGCACTCCACGTCCCCAGGTCTTGATTGTCCTGAGGGCAGGGAGTTGCAGGGTGGCCACAGGCTGGATCAAATGGCTTGGTGGGCCTGATCCAGCCAACAGAAGCAGTCTTGCCCACCTCTGGTCTAGCTCATACAACTGCCCATGCTGCTGTAGCTACACTACTGTTTTTAGTGAGCTAGCTCAAAGTTAGCTCAGGTGTGCTTACACATGCACCAGTCAGATCCTCTGCATACAGTGTAAACATACGTTTAGTTTGAATCTGTTTTTTCTAGGTAAAGTTATGACCTGTAGAAGAGGCAATAGAACTGTCTGCAAGCTTAGAACCACCACTGCGTAGAAGTTAACTTTGAAATCTTAAGTACTAGAAAATAACCATACTTTATTTCTGAGGACTTTACGTTGTGTTGAATATAACAAAAGGTGCAGATTCCCTCTTATGTTAGGTCAAGCTTTCCACTTGGTAAGGGCAAAGGTGAGAATGGATTTTTCAAAATTCGTCATAGATTTCATAGATATCATAGAATACTAGAACTGGAAGGTACCTTGAGAGGTCACCGAGTCCAGTCCCCTGCCCTTACGGCAGGACCAAGCACCTTCTAGCTCATCCCTGATAGATGTCTATCTAACCTGCTCTTGAATATCTCCAGTGATGGAGATTCCACAATCTCCCTAGGCAATTTATTCCAGTGTTTAACCACCCTGACAGGCTGGAAGTTTTTCCTAATATCCAACCTAAGCCTCCTTTGCTGCAATTTAAGACGACTGCTTCTTGTCCTATCCTCAGAGGCCAAGGAGAACAATTTTTCTCCCTCCTCCTTGTAACACCCTTTTAGTTACTTGAAAACCGCTACCATGGCCCCTCTGTCTTCTCTTTTCTAAACTAAACGAGCTCTGTTATTTCAGTCTTCCTTTATAGGTCATGTTTTCTACAACTTTAATCATTTTTATTGCTCTTCTTTGGACCTTTTCCAATTTCTCCACATCTTTCTTGAAATGTGGTGCCCAGAACTGGACCAGTACTCCAACTGAGGCCTAATCAGCACAGAGCAGAGCGGAAGAATGACTTCTTGTGTCTTGCTCATAATATTCTTGTTACTGCATCCCAGAATCATGTTTGCTTTTTTTGCAACAGTGTCACACTGTTGATTCATATTTGGTTTGTGGTCCACTATGACCCCTAGATCCATTTCTGCAGTACTGTTTTCTAGATAGTCACTTCCCATTCTGTATGTGTGAAATGGATTGTTCCTTCCTAAGTTGAATATTTTGCATTTGTCCTTATTAAACTGCATCCTATTTATCTCAGGCCATTTCTCCAGTTTGTCCAGATCATTTTGTATTATGACCTTATCCTCCAAAGCACTTGCAACTTTCTTGGTATTATCTTCAAACTTAGTAAGCATAATTTCTGTGCCAATATATACATCATTAATGAAGATATTGAAGAGAATCGGTCCTAAAACAGACCCCTTTGGAATCCCACTTTTTATGCCCTTCCAGCATGACTCTGAGCCATTAATAACTAATCTCTGAGAATGATTATCGAGCTAGTCATGCACCCCTCTTAGAGTAGCCCAGTGGTCCCCAACGCAATGCCTTTGGCCGCCTTGGCGCTTGCCGGGGCATTTACGTGCGCCCACCAAGTGCTCGGGGCCGGCCCCACCCTGGGTACTCGGCACATGCACGGTGCCGGTCCCAGGCACGCAGCGCATGGGCAGCCCTGTGCCCGGGTGCGCGGCCATGGGAGGTGCCGGCTCCGGGCGCGTGGCGAATGTGTGGCCCCATGCCCGGACGTGTGGCTATGGGGGGCGCCAGCCCCGGGCACGCGGCGAATGTGTGGTCCCATGCCCAGACGCGTGGCGCATGGGGGACACCGGCCCCAGGCACGCAGCTATGGGGGGGCGCTGGCTCCGGGCGCACAGCGAATTGGTGGCTCCGCCCCCAGACGTGCGGCGCATGGGGTCATGAGTGGCCCCGCCCCCGCGTGCCTGGCAGCTCCAAAAGGTTGGGGACCACTGGAATAGCCCGATCTAGGTTGTATTTCCCTAATTTATTGGTAAGAATGTTATGCGAGACCAAAGAAAATGCTTTACTGAAGTCTAGCTATACTACGCTTCTCCCTTATTCACAAGACTTGTTATCTTATCAAAGAAAGTTATTAGATTGGTTTGACATGATTTGTTCTTTACAATCCATGGTGGCTGTCCCTATCACCTCGTTATCTTCCAGATGTTTGCAGATGAATTCCTTAATTACTTGCTCCATTATCTTTCCTGGCACAGAAGTTAAACTGACTAGTCTGTAGTTTCCTGGGTTGTTCTTATTTCCCTTTTTATAGATGGGCACTATATTTGCCTTTTCCAGTCTTCTGGAATCTCTCCCAACTTCCATGAGTTTTCAAAGATGATAGCTAAAGGCTGCGTTACCTCTTCTATCAGTTCCTTCTAGGATGCATTTCATCAGGCTCTGGTGGCTTGCAGACATCCAACTTAAGTAATTTTTGATTTATTATTTTTTTTATTTTAACTTCTAAACCTGCCCCATTTCCACTACCACTCACTATGTTAGGAATCCTGTCACCATCCATCGTCTTGATGAAAACTGAAACAAAGAAATCATTAAGCTTCTCTGCCATTTCCAGGTTTCCTGTTGTTACTTCTCCCTCTTCACCAGGCAATGGGCCTATCCTGTCCTTGGTCTTCCTCTTGCTTTTAATATATTTGTAGAATTTCTTCTTGTTACCCGTTATGTCTATAGCTAGATTGAGCTTGTTTTGTACCTTTGTTTTTCTAATCTTGCCTCTGCATACTTGTGCTATTTGCCTATATTCATCCTTTGTAATTTGACCTAGTTTCCACTTATTATAGGACTTACAGCAGGCCTGGCCTAGTCTGTCTGGAGCAGCGTGTCATATTAGGGAGTGCTCCTGCCTGGCTGCAGCAGCCCCATTCTCAGTGTCCTGGCCCACCTGAAGCAGCAGGAGGCCACTCTAGCAAGGCTGTGGTGGACGGGGCAGCTGCTCCAGCTAATCTGTGCCCTCCGCCCACCCCCATTTAAGCAGTTAACTGGTTACATGATTAAATGGGATTTAACGTCCCTAGCTTGAGTCCAGGTGAGAAGCGCTTGTCCATGGCTGCTGCAGGGAGGAGAGAATTCTGTACCCCAGCTGGGGTCTCAGACACATAAACAGATAGGCTCTCTGAAAAATATAGTAGATAGTTGTCTCTTTTGCTACCCCTGCTGGCACAAGGAATTATAGTTATCCCAGTACCCATCTCTGGACCCTCTGTGTAGTCATTCTGCAGTATAGCTGCCTCCTATCACATCCCTTCGTTTGTTTCTCATAAAATGGAATCAAATTGTATGTACATCTCATTACCCTGGCACAATCAGACCCTGATCTTGCTTTAAATTATGATAAGAGGAAGTCTCATGTCATATTTAGTGGTCCTAGTTTTACCGTTTAGGAGTTCTTGAACAAACGGACTCACAGACAGATAGAGAGGCACATTTCTAAAATTTATAGTAAAGAAGATAACAACCTAGGACTGATACTACTGGGATTTGTAAAGATAAGATTGAACTGTCTTCCATCCCTTTTTCTGTCCTCAAATAGTAGGTGCAATCACACTGATTCTACAGCTTATAGTTGGATTAATAATATAATTAGCTCGGGGTGGGCAATAATTTTTGGTGGGGGGCCATTCCAAGATTTTGGTAAGTGGTCAAGGACTGCACTTTTCTATGGAGGGGATGAGGGGTCTAGGTTGGAGGTTGGGTGCAGAAGAATGCACAGGATAAGGGACTGGCGTGCAGGAGATGATGTGGAGTCTGACAGGGTGTTTGGGTGGAGGAGGGGATTGTGACCTGGGTCAGGGGATTGGGGTTTAGGGTCAGGGAGGGAGTGTGGGTGCAGGAGAGGATTCTGGCTTGGGGGAGGAGTATAGGTGGCGTATAGGGTCTGGGAGGGAGTTGTCACCTGGGGCAGGAGGTGCAGAGGATTTGGATGGTGATCTGGGGGAGGAAGTAGGGGTTGGGGTGCCAGAAGCAGGCACTGGCTGGGAGGAGTTTACCTAAGTGTCTCCTGGCCAGCAGGCTGGGCTCCCTGCTTGTTGCAGCCCCAGCCCTTGAAAATACAGGCTGCTCCCTCCCCATGGATCTCAACTCCAGATGGGGGAAGAGGCTTGCACTGCCCCAGTTTCTCAGGCCAATCTTTTAGCTCCAATTGGCTGGATGTTTCCTGCCAATAGGAGCTGAGAGATTGGCTGAGGTCAGTTCTTTTTGACCAGAAACAACTGGCCAATAGGCGCTGAGGACTTGGTGGGGCAGGGAGATTGCATGAAGCTTCCTCCTCCCTGCAAAGCAGAGAGCCACAGGGGCTGTGTTTTAAACTGCAACAGCTGCGTGTGTCTGAGGGTCCAAGCAGGATGGTCCGTGAGCCAGATCTGATGGTTTGTTGGGCCGGATCCTGGCCCCCGAGCCATATTTTGCCCAGCTCTGGTTTAGCTGAAGTACAGCATACTTCAGTGCAGAATAGTTATGTTTGTGAAGGCTTCTTACTTTTGAATTAGGTTCTCTATTAAAGTTAGTTATGATTTGTGTTTATTGTAGTGCCTAGGAGTCCTAGGTATGGACAAAGCCAGTGTGCTAGACAAGCATAGAACATAGAGCTTGCAATCTAATTACAAGATAAGAGACAGAACATAAATACAGACAGATTGACAGGGGGTATAGGATACAATAAAACAGTATTGGTCGGAATGATAGATAGTGGTACCAGCACACAATGGCTGAACTGTTGTCAAGTTTCTTTGTAGTCTGAGACAATGTGTGAGATAAATACTGTTTTATTTTCTTCCAACTGCAGAGGTGAACCACTGAAAGAAAAAATTACGTTTGATGGCCAAATTGGAGAGAGGCCAGAAATAGCTTACCATGTAATCCACACATTGTTAATGGGCTCTCTTGCAATGATGTTGGAAGGGTACGTTTTATATTTTTCTATTTTGAACATGGCAAAATATTACTAACTAGGTTAGTCACCCTTTTAGAAGTTGTACAAATTGTCCCCATCTCTCATCCTTCTCAGAAACCGATTTGACATATAAAACTACTAATTACTTTTGGAAGTAGCTTAGTGAACATTGAACATATATCTAAAAAAATAGTGTTTGGTTTCTTGAACACATTTTCTTGTTTTTTTCCCCCAGCATAAATCTGAGAACTTAAATGGAATAATTTTTTAGTCATTCCCCTGTTTTTCAAGTTCAGCTGCTGTGCTAGCACTCTTTCTACATTCTGATGTTCCATTGAAATCTTATGTAACTTTTTGATGCACTAGATAGTTCAAGGTTAAGGCCATACTTAAATCACAGGATGATTATCCAGAAATTGCAGCTGAGTTGCAGACAAGCCATGGAAAATCTCAGAAAAGTAATAAGTAATTTGTGGCAATAAGGTCCATAATTATTTTTCCATTATTTTGTTCTGTCAGCAGCCTGGGGTTGAGAATGGGAGCCTGAGGCTGCAAGGAGGGGCCCTAGCTGTCAGTCATCTGGAGCTCCCGTTGTCAGAATTGCAGTGGAAGCCTAATATTGCAGGGTCTGCAATTTTCTCAGTATTGCAAATTAAGTTGGGCCTGATTCATGGGCTGTGTCTACACTGGCATGAATTTCTGGAAATGCTTAAAACGGAATACTATTCCGTTTTCAGTTTTTCCGGAAAAGGAGCGTCTACATTGGCAGGCTGCTTTTCCGGAAAAGCCCTTTTTCCGGAAAAGCGTCTGTGGCCAATGTAGACGCGCTTTTCCGGAAAAGAGCTCCAATCGCCATTTTCGCTATCGGGGCTTTTTTCCGGAAAAGACTACTGGGCTGTCTACACTGGCCCTTTTCCAGAACAGTGTTCCGGAATAAGGACTTATGCCTGAGCAGGAGCAGAATAGTTTTTCCGGAATAGCAGCTGATTTTGTACAGTAGAGCATTGTTGCTTTTCCGGAAATTCAAGGGCCAGTGTAGACAGCTCGCAGCTTATTCCGGAAAAGCGGCTGATTTTCCGGAATAAGTGGCCCAGTGTAGACACAGCCATGGTGTATTACTATGACGGACTAGGCCGGGTCTGGGCACCGCTGAGGGCGTCTGCTCAGGGCGAATTGCTCAAACTCAGGGCTCCTTATAGCCCCTCACTGGAGACCCTTATCAATAAGGCCACAAACCAGTCACACCAAGTGTCTCAGCTGCCAATCCGGCTAGCAGGAAACCTCATGAGCAAAACCCCTCTGACACCCCAGCTCTCTCTCTGCCACAATCAGCCGTGAGTCTGCACACACAGGTGAGGGGTTATAGAACCCAATCTCACCTACCCCAAAGGGTCTTTCCAGTCCCAAAGACCCAGCCACAAATCCCCGGTCAATTTACACTTTGGATCTTCGCTGGGCCAGTCCTTTAGAATCTAAAATCTAAAGATTTATTAACAAAAGAAAGAAAAGCATGAGAGTAAGGTTATTAAGGAGAATACATTACATGTTTTGAATCCAGCAAGTTCTCAGTGCAGGCTCTCAGCAGAGATGTTACAAACTGCTATATTAAAAATCTCTGGTGTACATCCTCGCAAGGTTACATCTGGAATCAGTAGCAGATGGAGTCCGTCTCATGGCATTTTATATCAGTCCCTGGTATCTTCCAAGCTGGAGCAGGTCACATGGCCCAGTGACCTATCCCTGTGTCCCAAGTCAGCAGTCATGATATTAGCTGGTTTGCAGGCCCCAGACACATTCCTCAGGTGTGTATTGGCCCCTCTAAGAGCCTTGTCCCTGCAACCTTGCTAATTAGCATAGTCACTGAATGAACATTCCTGGCCCATTGCTCTGTCTCAGACAGAGAATCTTCCAGCATCAACAAAGATTACTTATTTATAACTCCACATACAGATATCACACAAGTACTGAATAACATAAATAAAATCAGTAGAACATAAGCTTTCATTTGACATCTCACATGGCCCCCTTTGTGCAGACTTTGGGGCAATCTCCCCCGCCCCTTGATGAAGCAGTAACCTGTCTAATCTCCTTAAAATCCAGTAACGTGACACCCCCAACGCAAAACTAATGCCGGAAGTGATGCCAGTAACGTCACTGAGTGCATCACAGGCCTCCCCATATTTTGGCTCTGTATTATTACAGGTTCTAATCCCATATTAGAAACGAGAGTACAGAACTGGACAAGTGTATGAAAACCAGGCTCGCCTACAATAGGCTTCCTCATTGCATGGTCTGTCATAGCAACAACCATGTCCTTGTACTGTTTTATAAACCCAAGATAAAACTGGTAAGAACCACAGCCAATCAGATCTGCTTTTGCAGCATGATCCCCATGTGTGTCATGAGATCTCGCACAGAGCTGAAGAAAATAGTAAATTTGTCCTGGCAAGCTCTGGCAATGGTCTGAAATCCAATTAACATTGTATTAATGTTGGTATTCTTACCCCTCATAGTATAGCATCTTGGCCCTTAGCCATGAAAACATAATGGTGGTGTGCCTCAGTTTCCTTTTCCATACAGTACATTATGGCTGGAATCTTCTTTGTCCTGTAAGAAGTTCCAAGATTAGTTATAGGCATAGGCATTAACCATGAAATATCAACATCACAAGGTCCTTTAACATACAGTCTGGTACATTTCTTGACAGTTTCAATGGTTTTTCCAAAACAGTATGCACGTTGTACATTTTTACAATACTTGGCAACCACAGCACATTGGTTACAAAAGTTAACATGAGTAATAGGAACACACCCATATCCAGTATACATTTACAACACTTTCTCCCATGCCACATCTTTGGCTCCGTGCCCTGTAGTTTTGACCCTTCAGGTTTAAACTGAAATTTTCCTTTGACAAAGCAAGTTCTGCCTTTCCCCCTTGTCCTGTAGGTTCACATCCTGAACTCCTTATCCCAGAGACAAAAGGCTGGCTGGATGTGACTTCCCGGTTCACAATGGCCATGGGATTCTTCTCTCCCCCCCCCCCATCAGTGGGGTAACAACAATAAGCAGTATACTCACAAATCTCTTGTCCTTTCACCTTCAACCTCTGCTTCCATATGGAATGAGATGTTAAGTTCCTTGATTGATTTACAAGTGTCCACTATGTGTAGAGATGGGAGTTTACTTGCCATCTCCTGCATTCTAGAGAGATTAACCTGTTTTGCCCTGCATACTTAGCTACATAGTTCTTCCCCTGAATCTGAGACACACTCTGTCCACCCTCATAATCAACCTGGGAACATTCCTATCCCAACCACACTGACTTCCCAACCAGCTGGTCAAATCCAGTCACTTGGTTACCAGACTGTTCCAATTCTCTGGCTGTTTCTGCCTCATCTGAAATAATCCTCAGTCCCTCTGAGACCTCTCTACAACCATGCACACTGAATCTTTCTCAATCCAAGTCAGTGGAGTCACTGTTAACAGAAAAATTCTGCCCATCAGGCTCTGAAACAAGTGTCTCATGAAATAAAGTGCTGCCTCTTTCAGGAAGAGCTTTCTCCTGATTTTCCCCAAAGAAGGAATTTTTATTCTTCAGCTTCCACCAACTCCTGCAATCTTCTCTGGCCCCTCGGGTGGACTCCTAGACAATCCCCTTTCAGGCACACAGACAGACTCACGAGATACAAGGTCAGAGACATTTTCCTTCCCTTTGTAACTCTCTCTGGACTGGTGCCTTGAAGGCTCCTTGTCCCAGCACGCACAAGGGTAGGAATCATTCTCTCTTCCTCTGGTAACATACAAGCACCAGAATCATCTGATCTCTGGGATCCTGGCAAGACACTGACTGGATCTGCCCAAGTCACAGCATGCTTCTCCCCAGCAGACACAAACGTAGGGCCATCCCCTTTCTGGGCTTTAGCTGTATCCAGTCCCAGCTCTGGGACAATATCACTGCTCTCAGCCATCACAGGCTGCGGGGCACCTTCCTCAGACAAAGGATTGAGAGGAAACCCTTCCCCCACAGGCATGCTGCTGCAACAACTAGAAATAGTCCCTCCTTTTTCCCAGCACCTCTGGCTATTCTCAGACACACAGCTAGCAACTGAGACAGCTTATTTCATTGACACACTGCTATTCTCAGCAGCCAAACTGCCAGCTTGCACACACTGTGGCTGCTCACACTGTGCTTCCTCACACAACTCACTTCCAGCTTGTGCAAGTGCAGTTTCACAAGCACTACCAGCTAATGATCCATCACTTCTCAGAACTTTATCATGTTTCACGGTGAGAAATCTACCCTGGCCATCCACTGCAGCCTGCTCCAGAGAAGCATTGTCCTGGTCCCTGGGGCCCCGCCTGCACAGACACACAGCTATCTGCTTCAGGCAAACATTTAGCAATACTTTCCCCCTGGCTGCAATAGAACCGATTAGCCCCAGACAACTGCCCAGAATCACATTCACCCCCTTCACAAACCCCATAAATGCTTTGGGGCTATGTTAAGACATCAGCCTGGTTAAACACATCTGCCATGATATAATCACACCACATACCCACAAGATTATACACCGAACTCCCAGGAGGATACAGACTCTTTGGCTCTTCTATTTTCTTAAGCTGAAGCTCGAGTCTGGCAGATTTCTCATTGGCTTGTGCCATCCTCTTTGCATGTTCTAGTTCCAGCTTCTGCCTTCTCTCAGCAGTTTCTTTGATTAGCTTTAGCTAGCAGACAAAATTCCTCCAGTTCTTGTTAATATTTAAGTTGCAATCTCCTCACTGGATCCTGAACTCTCATTTCTTCTGCAGCATCTCTGGCCACTAAAAAACATCTCAGTTCTGGCTTAGAAGCTTTCTCTCAATTCAATGTCTCTTTCCAAGCACAAATCTTCCAGAGCCCTTTTGTCCAAACTCTCATACTGTTGCTGACTCATTGCAGCCACCCTCAGTTCTGGCTTAGAAGCTTTCTCTCAATTCAATGTCTCTTTCCAAGCACAAATCTTCCAGAGCCCTTTTGTCCAAACTCTCATACTGTTGCTGACTCATTGCAGCCACCCTTTAACCAACTGAACTCTCAATACCAACATTAAATTTAGATAGCGTGGGGCCCTGATCCAAAGCTCAATTGACCAAGATCTGTGGATCCTGCCAACTGGGCACTGCTGAGGGTGTCCACTCAGGGCAAATTGCTCAAAATGCAGTAACGTGACAATCACAGAAACTAGAGATAGAAAAGACCTCTACTCCATCTCTTTGTCTGTTAAGGACATCACAAAGTGTGTTTTAACATGTCAAGCAACCACAAAGCAGTTGAAAAAGATATTCTGAACATTTATTATTATGGCACTAGATGTCATGATGTTGTTTAGACTAAAAACAATTACATTTACCAGACTTACCTGCCAAATAAATTTTAGACAGGTGTATGTTTGTGTCCGAATACGATCTGTGCAGAGTCTCATCTTTGATTGCTGTGCTGTTTCTCAGTATGAAGTACCTGTGGACTCCACATGTGTGTATGCTTGCTGCATTTGGTGTATGCTCTCCTGAGCTTTGGATGACCCTTTTCAAGTGGCTTCGACTGAAAGCTGTACACCCAGTATTGTTGGTGAGTCATTAGTATTAGTCAATGTTAGCAATTGTTGGTAGTAGTTATATCTAATGAGTTTATCTCTTTGTTTTAAGTGGTGCTTGAGAATTCTAAAGAAACATCAAAAGGTAGAAAAATAAAGCAGCCTGGACAAATGTATATTTAATTACTGAGTAAGATTGAAAAATTGTCAAATTAAACAATAGCTGAAATTATTTATTTAAGATTTGTTGCTGCTCATGTTTATGCTACAGCCCCTAAGAGGCATCAGCGTTTAAGAGAAATAAATGCTGCAGTGGGAATCAGGACCACCTCTCTTGTAATACCAGCTCTCATTATAGAAATTACCACAATTACTCCTCCTTTGCAAGATAAAGATGAATACCTGGAATGCTGCCATGCAGAATAACAGGATGTTGTTTTGTATTAATACTGTAATTCTGAATGAGAGGACAAATAATGTTAAAGGGAACTGAATTGCATTTTTAAGAACATAAGTATATAAGAATGGCCATACTCGATCAGACCAAAGGTCCATCCAGCCTAATATTCTGTCTGCCGACAGTGGCCAATGCCAAGTGCCCCAGAGGGAGTGAACAGAATAGGTAATGATCAAGAGATCTCTCTCCTGCCATCCATCTCCACCCTCTGACAGAGGCTAGGGACACCATTCCTTACCCATCCTGGCTAATAGCCATTAATGGACTTAACCTCCATGAATTTATCTAGTTCTTTTTTAAACCCTGTTATAGTCCTAGCCTTCACAACCTCCTCAAGCAAGAAGTTCCACAGGTTGACAGTGCATTGTGTGAAGAAGAACTTCCTTTATTTGTTTTAAACCTGCTGCCCATTAATTTCATTTGGTGGCCCCCTAGTTCTTATATTATGGGAACAAGTAAATAACTTTTCCATATTCACTTTCTCCAGACCACTCACGATTTTATATACCTCTATCATATCCCCCCTTAATCTCCTCTTTGCCACGCTAAAAAGTCCTAGTCTCTTTAATCGCTCTTCATATGGGACCTGTTCCAAATGGGACCAATCCTTTTAGTTGCCCTTCTCTGAACCTTTTCTAATGCCAGTATATCTTTTTTGAGATGAGGAGACCACATCCGTATGCAGTACTCAAGATGTGGACGTACCATGGATTTATATAAGGGCAATAAGATATTCTCCTTCTTATTCTCTATCCCTTTTTTAATGATTCCTAACATCCTGTTCGCTTTTTTGACTGCCGCTGCACACTGCATGGACGTCTTCAGAGAACTATCCACGATGACTTCAAGATCTTTCATTATTTTTTCTTTGTCTCTTGATCACCTTCATGAAAGAGACACCTCTTCAGTCTTGCTTCCTTCCCTAGTTCATATCTGCACTTTATCACTGTTTCTTGAAAAACTATTCAGACCCAATACTACTAAAGTTGCAGTGTGCCAAATTCTGCAGAGTTTAATAAGTAAAATCCTGTTTGTTCATATTGAGTTTAGCTTGGCTCAAAACAGCAAAATTTGTCCAACTGTCATTTAATGTCCATGTCCGGGACTTGTTCTCTTAAAGCAGTGCTACTCAACACATGGCCCGGGGGCCGCATGCGGCCTGCAGTGTGGTTTGGGTTTATGTGGAGCTCAACACACGGAGCACAGGTGGGAGCCAAAACAAAAAAGTAGTCAATATAATGGTCTTCTGTTGATAGGTATTTTAGTAGTTAAATCCCTGGACTGTCATTGCTCATTAAAAGTGCTGTCATATGGGTGGAAATGGGGTAAATACTGCATTTTATTAATATAATCCGAACTGATTTAAATGGGAACTGTGTGTTTTGTAGTCTTGCCTTAATCTGTGTATTCATGCCCGTCAGTGTGAAAAAAGCTGTGTGTGTATTTATTTGCATGTATATGCAGCCACACTTAAGTTGTGGCCCTTGGCATGTGCTGTGTGTAATATTGTGGCCCTTGAGGCTTCCAAAGTTGAGTAGTCTTGTATTAAACTGACAGCTTTTAGATATGCAGTGTTGTTGTATTTATTTTGGTCCCAGAGTATTAGAAAGATGAGGCCCATTAAAAATTACTACTTAACCCACTGTGTGTGTCTGCTTTGGACAGATAGCCCAAATTCCATTTGTGGGGAATAAAGGGAACAATCAGTACTAGTTTTCTCTCTCTTTTTTTAATATTCTAGGCTCTCATTCTGAGTATGGCAGTTCCGAGTATAATAGGTTTCAGCTTGTGGAAAGAGGTAAGAAAAAGTATTTTGAATGTTCATTGTAGGTATGGGATACATAATGTCTTGCAGGTGAGAGAAGATAATGCCTATGTGAAATAATTAGTAATATCTGAGAGTGTTCTCTAATGCAGTGTTTCTCCACCTTTTTTTTTAAATAAAATACCCCCTTTAAAAAAAAATTATAAGTACCTCCAGTACGTACAGTTTTCAGACACACACACATTTTTTTCTACCATTGCAACACGTTTGTTTAAACAACTTAATCATAGTCAGGCAGGCGATGACATTTTTGGGTGTAAAAAGTACAAAAATAAAGTGCTGTAAAACTTAAAACAAAAATTCAGTTTTCTCCAAATTTCATTTGTGTGACATATCCCCCAGACTTCTCTCAAGTACCCCTAAGGGTACTCGTACCACTGGTTCAAAACCACTGCTCTAATGAACACAGTTCTTTATCATTTTATTTGCTGTTTGTATACAGTTATATGTGCAAGATTCAGAACACTTGTGGCTGGTGCAATTAAAAATGCATTAGTTTGTAGGCTGAAGACAAAAGGCCTTGTAACAGGGCAGGCCTCACCACCAAAGGCACCTCCAGCTGGTCACTCAGGGAATTAGCATTTTTGGTGCTGGAGCTCCCCCTTCTAGCTGGTGTCTTCCTTGCTGTTATTACTTACTCTCCACCATACTTGGTCACTGCCCACATCTCTCTCAGGCTGTGGCGCCCTCCGACCTGCATACTGTCCTACCACAGTACCCCACACTCTGGATTCCACCCTCTCTGGAGACCCTCAATCCCCCTCTTCCCACCTTGCCTCACTGACCCAGTGCCAGTCTTCATCTAGCCCCTGCCACAGGGGCAAACTGCAGTCTGAAATGGCCACTCATTGTCAAGGGGTTGCGGACCTGCTGCTTTTGCCTGTCCTGGCTGCTTTCCCATAGCCCTAGTACTCTGAGGCCTTGCTTCAGACCCTGCAGCCTGGGAGATTACCTGGCCAGAGCTTCCCCAGCTCTGCATGACTTTCCCCAGCCTTGCTTTAAATCAGGAAGCCTCTAGCTTCCCTAGCAGCTAAGTCTCTCCTGCTCCCTAACTAGTGCAAGTGTATCTCTCCCTTCCTCCCTCCTGGAGCCTTCATTTATACAGCCCACAGCTGGGCTCTTATTGGCAGCTATCTACTGCAGCTGCTTGCTCCATGGCTCCAGCTCTCACTCAGGGCTGTGTTTTAACCCATTAAAGGGCCAGTGCAGAGCAGATACCCCATCACACAACTTCACTTAAATTTTGGATTCATAAAATAAAGTAATTTTACAGAGAAAATATTGCAAAAGTAAAATGTTGGAATACTTTGAGTACATCATCCTATGTGTGTTTTCACTGAGAGGCAGTTAGATAAGTTGGAAGTAGAATTATAGAAGGCAGTTGCAAGTGCCTTATTTGGAAAGCTCTGGTCAACAAGAAATGGAATTTTTAATTTAGAATGGGGTCTCAAATTCAAATGCCATGGGCCATCTATGGCCAGAGCATAATTGCTATCTGGCCCGGGGAAAGGTTCTTGTCCCCCAAAGGATGCGGCCTCTGGGATTAACAGTGCATGGAGTGTTGGGGGGCCCAGCTGCTTTTCTGCCTCACGCTGGTAAGCCTAAGGGTGGGAAGGAGCAGGGTTTGGGGTGGGGGTGGGGGACAGGAATGATCGGGGACACACACACACACACACACACACACACACACACACACTATATTTTTATATATATAATCTCCCCACATAGATGGGGGTCACTCTAGATGTTTAAATACTCCAATAAAGGATGTCATTTAGGAACCTACATAGATATGTAGAACATAAGAATGGCCTACTGGGTCAGACCAAAGTTCCATCTAGCTGAGTGTCCAGTCTGCCGACAGTGGCCAATACCAGATGCCCCAGAGGGAAGGGAACACACAAGTAATCCTCACATGATCCCTCTCCTATCACCCATTTACAGACAAACAGAGGCTAGGACCACCATTCCTACCCATCCTGGCTAATAGCCATTGATGGACCTAACCTCAATGAATTTATATAGCTCTTTTTTGATCCCTGTTAAAGTCCTAGTCTTTACTGCATTCTCTGGCAAAGAGTTCCACAGGTTGACTGTGCGCTGAATGAAGAAAAACTTCCTTTTGTTTGTTTTGAACCTGCTGCCTATTAATTTCATTTGGTGACCCCTAGTTCTTATATTGTGGGAATAAGTAAATAACTTTTCCTTATTCACTTTTTCCACACCAGTCACAATTTTATAGACCTCTATCATATCTCCCCTTAGTCTCCTCTTTTTCTAAGCTGAAAAGTCCAAGTCTTTTTAATCTCTCCTCATCTGGCAGCCATTGCAAACCCCTAATCATTTTTGTTGCCCTTTTCTGAATCTTTTCCAATGTCAATATATATTTTGTGAGATGAGGTGACCACATCTGTGTGCAGTATTCAAGGTGTGGGCATACCATGGTTTTATATAGAGGCAACTAGCTGGACTTATCCAGCGTTTCTCGGGAAACCGGAGGAACAAAATTTAGGAAAGGAGGGGACCGTGAGCCAGGAGACCCCCAGAGCCACAGACCCCGGGGGCTGATGGCTTCTGTCCCACACCTGACCGTCTGAGAGCAGCAGGACCCTCCTCCCCCCAAGACCGAGCAGCCAGCCCCTAGGAGAACAGTACGCAGTCATGCAGCCAGTAGCAAGGGGACCTCTCTTTGCAAGGTCGGCTCAGGGATCCAGCTGCCCTGCCTTGGGAAGCAAAAGCTCAGAGCTCATATCTAACCCCGATGGCTGGAACCAGACATAGAAGAGCCCCACTCTCAGTACGAACAGCAGCTGGCTGGCTTCACATCAGTGTAACACATCGAGGGTTTAACCCGGCCCCTCTGCCCTGCGCTGCAGCAGGCACACGGATTCCTTTTGCTCGGATAAGCCCAGAGAGCTGAGCAGAAAGGCTGGTGGGCTTTGGGTTTGGTTTCCTGAGAGGAGGGTGACAGGTGGGGAGCAACCCCGAGTGGAGGGGAGGTTACATGCGGGAGGGGCGCCCTAGCTTGCACCTGGGGCTGCAAGTGCCACAGGGGGCAGGGCAGGTGCCCGAGCTGTTGTGCGCATAGGGCTGGGGGCACTGTGTGCCAGCAGGGGGTGGGGAGGGGATTGGTTATGTAACCTCATGGGCAGGAGGGAGCAAGTCCTGGGATGCTACACGCAGGAGGGGCGCCCCAGCTCGCGCCCGGGCCTTAGGTGCTGCGGGGGGCAGGGCAGGACCCCGATCAGGTTCAAAAGTACCTTAAAACCTCCTGGATGAAAGGTTCTCCCATGCAAAGTTTGGTTGTGGTAGCTCTTACAGTGTCCAAGTTATTAGTGCAAAAACTTACAAACATTCTCCTTTATATATTAGATAGGGTGGTACTTGGACAGATGTGGTGGAAGAAAATCAGATTCTCTGTCTATGTGGGGCATAGGCTGGCAGTTAGGGAGGTGGCGGGCAAAGGGTGGGGAGGAGCGGGGCACTGTCTGTATGGTGCACAGGCCAGCAGTTAGGCAAGTGGTGGGGGAAGGGTAGAGCGGAGTGGGGTGCTGTCTGTGTGGGGCACAGGGTGGCCGTTTGAGAGGTGGTGGAGGAAGGGTGGGGAGGAGCGGGGCACAGGCCGGCAGTTAGGGAAGAGAGGAAGGGGGGGGTGGCAGCATGCAAAGGAGCCTACCCCGCTCCCCCTTCCTCCTTCTCTCTTTCCTCTCCTCCTGCCCCCCTCCCCCGTGTCTGGCCCAGCGCCAGTTTTAACCATCAGTGCCCTTTTCCACGCCGGCATCCCTGCTCTCCTCAGGTCCACTTGCCCGCCGGTTTTCATGCCAGCTGAGGCGCACCTGCACCATGAGGGTGGTCCTTCGCATGCCGCCTCTGCGCAAGCGCCACAGGCCCAGAACAGCGGCGGCCTGGGAGCACATTGCCGCCAGCGGAGCTAGTGCTGGGGGAGGGGAGAATTGGGCCTTCATCACACCCTCCCACAGTACCTTAAAACCTTCTCCTGGAGGAAAGGTTATCCCATGGAAAGTTTGGTTGCAGTAGGTCTTATAGTGTCCAAGTTATTAGAGCACAAACATACGAACATTCTCATTTATATATTAAATAAGATATTCTCTGTCTTATTCTCGATCGCTTTTTTAATGATTCCTAACTTTCTAGTTGCTTTTTTGACTGCTGCTGCACATTGAGTGGATGTTTTCAGAGAACTATCCACAAGATCTCTCTCTTGACTAGTTGTAGCTAAATTAGCTCTGCTTTTGCCCGCCTGACACGAAGGGTCTTTGAGAACTGGGACATCAGTACCAAGATTAAGCACCTTGTGTACTGCACAGTGGTTTTTCCAACACTGCTGTACGCATGTGAAACCTGGACAAGATATAAGTGTCACCTGAAGGCACTTGAACAATATCATTAAAGCTACCTCAGGAGAATCCTAAATATCCCTTGGGAGGATAGGCGCATGAACACTAGCACCTTGGAAGCATTGAACATGACCAGCATTGAAGCTATCATCGTCTACCAACAACTTTTCTGAACTAGTAACGGTGCCTGATCAGCGCCTCCCAAAACATTATAAAGGAATCAGACTGCTCTTGTAACAGCTGTTTTCATAGAATCATAGGCCTGGAAGGGACCTTGAGAAGTTATCTAGTCCAGTCCCCTCACTGATGGCAGGACTAAGTACTATGTAGACCACTCTGGACACGTGTTTGTTTAACCTATTCTTAAAATTCTCCAATAATGGTGAGTCCACAACCTTGCTAGGCAATTTATTCCAGTGCCTACCCACCCTGAAAGTTAAGGAAAAACTTCCTAATGTTCAATATAAACCTCCCTGACTGCAAATTTAAGCCCACTGCTTCTTGTTCTATCCTCAGAAGTTAAGAATATTTTTCTCTGTTTTCCTTATAACAATTTTTTATGTATTTGAAAACTGTTGTGTCTCCTCTCGGTCTTCTCTTTTCCAAACTAAACAAACCCATTTTTTTTCAGTCTTGACTCATAGGTCATGTTTTCTAGACCTTTAATCATTTTTGTTGCTCTTCTCTGGACTTTCTCATATTTATCCACATCTTTCTTGAAATGTGGTGTGCAGAATGGGAAACAGTATTCCAGCTGAGGCCTAATCAGCATGGAGTAGAGCAGAGGAATTACTTCTTGTCTTGCTTTCAGCACTCCTGCTAATGCATACCAAAATGCTGGTTTGTTTTTTTTTTTTTTTTTGCAACAGTGTCACATTGACTTACATTTTACTTATGGACCCATGTCTCCCAGATCCCTTTCTGCAGTATTCCTTCCTAGGCATTCATTTCCCTATTTGTATGTGTGCAAGTGATTGTTCTTTCCTAAATGAAGTACAGTAAAACCTGTGTTATCTGGCATGCTCGGGGATTAGGGCGTTCTGGTTATCTAAAAATTCCGGGTTCCATCAACCTAGGAATAACCAATGGACAATAATAGTAAAACTCAAGTTTTTAATATTGGTAGTTTTATAGTATAGTTTTGTAGTTGGTCTCTCATTTCTATTTTGAGTTAAAGTACTTCTTAAATAAAAAATTAAGTCAAGTCAATCATGGTAAACCAAGCCAGGCCTATGTGCCTGAACATGTGATAGTATTGTGGCTGGGGGCAATGCCAGTTAACAAAGTTTTCTGGTTAACAGAGTGGCGGATAGCAAAGGTTTTATGTTTTCTGGTTAACAGAGTGGCGGATAGCAAAGGGTTTATTGTACTTTTAATTTTTCCTTATTGAATTTCATTCTATTTTCCTCAGGCCATTTTTCCAGTTTGTTCAGTTAATTTTGAATTTTAACCCTGTTGTCCTCCAAAGCCTTGCAACCTGTCCCATCTTGGTGTCATCCTTAAACTTTATAAGTATACTCTCTATGTCATTATCCAAATTACTGATAAATATATTTAACAGAACTGAACCCAGAACTGATTCCTTTGGGACCCCACTCGTTACACACTTCCATTATGACTGGACCATTGATTACTTCTCTCTGCGAATGATTTTTCAGCCAGATATGCACCCATCTTATAGTAGTTTCATCTTGGTTGCATTTTCCTAATTTGTTTATGAGAAGGTCATATGAGACAGTGTCAAAAGCTTTACTAAAGTCAGGATATACCACCTCTACCACTTCTTACTTATCCACAAAGCTTATTACTCTTGTGACAGAGTGAATAATTGATACAATTTAAGTTTGTAGATGGTAAAAGACAATTGTAACTGTTCTCTGCACTGAGATGAGGTGGGCACATGAATAAATAGATAATAATTAGCCATCAACAAGTTTAGGCTTGAAATTAGGCAAAGGTTTCTAACCAAGAAGTCAAGTTCTAGAATAGCCTTCCAAGGAGAGCAGTGAAGGCAAAAAACCTAACTGCCATGAAGACTGATCTTGCTAAGTTTATGGACAGTATGACGAGACTGCCTATAATGATATACTGCTCTTTATATTGAAATATAAGTACCGTATTGTATTCTAGTTGATTTATTTTGTAATTAGAAAATAAACAATTTGTCAGTAATAATGTCCTGTGACACTTTGTATTTTTGTCTGATTAGTAAGCAAGTAGTTTAAGTGAGGTGAAACTTGGAATTACACAACATAAATGAGATTCCTGAAAGGGATACAGAATTCTGGAAAGGTGGAGAGTCACTGCCCTATGTCTGTGTTGCCTTCTTCTGCAACATGGATATGGGTCACTTGCAGTTTTAAACTGTAACCTGAAGTCTTTAAACCATGATTTGAGGACTTGTGTATGTCAGCCCGAGGATGGGGGCCTATTACAGGAGTGGATGGTAAGGTTCTATGGCCTGCAGTGTACAGGAAGTCAGATTAGAGGATCTAACTATAAAAATGTATAGCAGTAGTATTTTTTTCAAAACAGTATCAGACACGCATCCAAAATCTTACCCATAGTATTTTAGTGGTTAAGGTATAAACATCTGCCTCGGGTACTGAGGGAGTTGGCAAATGTCATTGCAGAGCCATTGGCCATTATTTTTGAAAGTTCATGGAGATCGGGAGAAGTCCTGGATGATTGGAAAAAGGCAAATGTAGTGCCCATCTTTAAAAAAGGGAAGAAGGACAATCCAGGGAACTACAAACCAGTTGGCCTTACCTCAGTCCCCGGAAAAATCATGGAGGGGATCCTCAAGGAATCCATTTTGAAGCACTTGGAAGAGGGGAAAGTGATCAGAAATAGTCAACATGGATTCACCAAGGGCAAGTCGTGCCTGACCAATCTGATTAGCTTCTGTGATGAGGTAACTGGCTCTGTGGATACGGGAAAGTTGGTGGATGTGATATACCTTGACTTTAGCAAAGCTTTTGATACAGTCTCCCACAATATTCTTGCCAGCAAGTTAAGGAAGTATGGATTGGATAAATGGACTGTACGGTGGATAGAAAGCTGGCTAGATTGTCCGGTACAGTGGGTAGTGATCAGCAGGTCTGTCTGGTTGGTGGTCGGTTTCAAGCGGAGTGCCCCAAGGATCGGTCCTAGGGCCAGTTTTGATCAACATCTTTATTAATGATCTGGATGAGGGGATGAAATGTACCTTCAGCAAGTTTACAGATGACACTAAGCTAGGAGGAGAGGTAAATCTGTTGAAGGGCAGGAATAGGGTCCAGAGTGACCTAGACAAATTGGAAGATTGGACCAAAAGAAATCTGAGGAGGTTCTACAAGGACAAGTGCAGAGTCCTGCTCTTGGGATGGAAGAATCCCAACCATTGTTATAGGCTGGGGACCTACAGGCTAAATTAGCAGTTCAGCAGAAAAGGATCTGGGGATTACAGTAGTTGAGAAACTGGATATGGGTCAATAGTGTGCCCTTGTAGCCAAGAAGGCTAATGGCATATTAGGGTACATTAGGAGGAGCATTTCCAGCAGAGCTAGAGACATTATTCCCCTTTATTCGGCACTGGTGATGCCACATCTGGAGGATTGCGTCCAGTTCTGGGCCACCCAATATAGAAAGGATGTGGATGCATTGAAGAGTATCTGGCAAAGGGCAACCAAAATGATTAGGGGATTGGAACACATGAACTATGAGGAAAGGCTGAGGGATTTAGGCTTATTTAGTCTGCAGAAAACAAAAGTGAGGGGGGGATTTGATAGGAGCCTTCAATTTCCTGAAGGGAGGTTCCAAACAGGATGGAGTGAAGCTGTTCTCAGTAGTGACTGATGGCAGAACAAGGAGCAATGGTCTCAAAGTATAGGGGGGAAGGTTTCGGTTGGATATTAGGAAAAACTATTTCACTAGGAGGGTGAAATACTGGAATGGGCTACCTAGGGATGTGGTGGAATCTCCATCCCTAGAGATTTTTAAGTACCATCTTGACAAAAGCCCTGGATTGGATGATTTAGTTACGCTTGGTCCTGCTTTGGGCGGGGGGGGGGGTTGGATTCGGTGACCTCCTGAGGTCTCTTCCAGTCCTGTGATTCTATGATGATTGATTTCCTGATACAATGGTATGTATAACAATACAATAAGACTTTCTCTGCACATTTTCTGACTTCACGTATGCTGACAGTGCATTTAGATTGTTTTGAGAAAGTGTAATTCCTAAAAAGGGTTGGCAGATATAAAGCTATTTATAGTAAATAAAACTTGTTCAATTGTCTATGGAATTCTTTACTACAAATTGTTCTAACAAAACTATTTAAGGGTTTGGACACTAGAGGGCTCCATATAAATCCAGTTTAAGGGGGTTCTGTCATTATACCATAGCAGTGGGAAATTGCAAAATGTTTAAAAAATCCAAATGTTATAATAATTTTCTCTCAGAAACTTTCATAATTTTATGTTGGGGTCATTTGAGGGACAGCAGGACACTTCAATAAAATACATTGCCAGATTAAATTACGTATCATTGTTAGACCTACTGTTACCCTCTGTAGAGGGACAACTGTGATTCAGTTTACTATTCTATGCTTCAAGTTTCTGTCTCAAAAGCCAAAGGGGAAAACCTTGGATTTTTTTAAAAATAAGGGGTCAGATTAATTCCTAGTATAAATACTTTGGTACTAAATCATTGAATTTGGATCAAAATGTAGAACTTTTTATTAAATTGTAATTGGTCATCTGTAGCAATATTTCTTTTGTGAAAATAAAGACTGCAGTGTACTCTTATGTATACTCTGATGGTATGTGATAAACTTCTGTTTATTTTCTTCAGTATTTTCCAAGGATAATGGCAGAGCTTTCAGAACTGCAAGAATTATATGATTCAGATACAGTAGAACTCATGATGTGGATAAAGTAAGTGTGAACTCCTGGATATCTGTGTTTTGTTTTGTTAAAAACATTTATCTCTTGAGTCATAACAGCATATTTTATCAAGATACAGTTATTAAATCAGCATTTTCCCTCCATGCTTGACCATGTAGTTTGGGGAAGAGAGAGAAGATGAAATTACGGGCTTGATATTGCTACCATTGAAAGCAATAGGAACTTGCCATTTAATTTTAGCAGGAGTAGAAGCAGCTTCTGCATTATGTATGATTAGCTTTCATATAATTTAGTTACCAATCTTAATGGCCAGTTAAAAGACTTAAGATGGTGAATGTTCTTTATATGAAAATTCTTTGTTCTTTATAAGCAAATTTCCTGATAGGTATTTACAAAAAACATTGTTAGATACAAATACCAGGCTTGATTCTGCAAGGTGCACAACCACTTACATTCATAGCTGTGTTGCGGCCAGTGTGCTCAGCAATCGGGAGGAGCAATCCTACTGAGGTGGGAAATAAGAGATTTAAGTACATAGTAACATCATGTAGTTGGTTCAAGACTTCCACTTAGACCTGGAGGCTGTGCCTGTTCTTGTCCATGGCTAGTTGTGTTGATTATAACAAATTCTGAGAGTACAACTGACTCTTACTTGAAGAAAAAAATAATTTATCTATAAAAATAAACTGTCTTCCAATGAGAACTACATGCCCTGTTTGGCCCTCCTACAGTCCAACTTCCATTTCATTGATGCTCCTGAACTTGATAGAATTGGGCCCATTGTGTTCAAATAGCTTAGTGATTTTAATTATACATCTTCAGAAAAGGCTAGGCTGTTAATTGTGATGTTTCAACTATTTTTTTTATTTTTGTTAATAACAGTGTAGGATATTTGTCACCCCCTGTACATCTTCGTGGCAGCAAGTAGAGCCATGTCAGATACCTCCTGACTTTTGCATTAGCCTATTTATATTATGCATCAAGTAATTAATCACAAGGAATTGTTTTGTGATATACTCAATAAAGAGCAATCTGACTACCACTTTTTATAGCTATTGTTTGTATTTTTAATGAAAATTAGGATTTTTCATGACATGACTGAATTATTGGCTACCTAATTAAATTTCACTGATACAACTCATTTTTTCTTTTAATTTTATCACTTAGAAAAGAAGTGTATTTTATTTTGATAAATACAGAAAAGTATGCCTCTCCTAGGCTTTGTGTTTGCCATCAATAAACTCCTCATACCCACAGAGAGACAATACTTAAGCAAAAGATTAAATCAAAGACCCACAAAAATCTCCTTTCCATTCCCATCTCCCACCTTACCACAAATTTCTTATACTAGTACTTACTGGCTGAGATACCTCTTCTGTCAGCTCCTTGAGTATTCTAGGATGCATTTCATCAGGCCCTGGTGACTTGCTGACATCTAACTTTTCTAAGTAATTTTTAACTTGTTCCTTTATTTTAACTTCTAATCCTACCCCATTTCCACTAGCATTCACTATGTTAGGCATCTTATCACAATCCATCATGACAAAAACTGAAACAAAGTCATTAAGCACCTCTTCCATTTCCAAGTTTCCTGTTATTGTTTCTCCCTCCTCACTGAGAAATGGGCCTAACCATGTCCTTGGTTTTCCTTTTGCTCCTAATACACTTGTAGAATATCTTGTACCCTTTATGCCTCTAGCTAGATTTAGCTCTTTTTGTGCCTTTGCCTTTCTAATTTTGTCCCTGAATACCTGTGTTGTTTGCTTATATTCATCCTTTGTAATTGTCCTAGTTTTCATCTTTTATGTGACTCCTTTTTGATTTTTAGATCATGTAAGATCTCTCGGTTGATCTATGGTGGTCTCCTGCCATACTTTTTATCTTTCCTACTCAGTGGAATAGTTTGCTTTTGGTCCCTTAATAATGTCCCTTTAAAAACCTGCCAACTCTCTTCAGTTTTTTTTTTCCTAGTCTTGCTTCCCATAGGATCTTACCTACCAGCTCTCTGAGTTTACTAAAATTTGCATTCCCAAAATCCATTGTCTCTGTTTTGCTGTTTTCCTTTCTACCATTCCTTAGAATCATGAACTTTGTGATTTCATGGTCACTTTCTCCCAAGCTGCCTTCCATTTTCAAATTTTCAACCAGTTCCTCCCTATTTGTTAAAATCAAATCAACCCCCAGTAGCTTTCTCAACCTTCTGAAATAAAAAAAAATGACTCCAATGCAGTCCAAGAACTTGTTGGATAATCTGTGCCCTGCTGTGTTAGTTTCCCAATGTATGTTTAGATAGTTGAAGTCCCCCCCATGATCACCAAATCCTGCACTTACCTAGTATGTCTGCACATACCTAGTATGTCTGAGTTTCCACCTAGCAATACAGAGGACTTTGATCATGCTACTAGGCCTTCATAATTGATTGCTAAGATCAAAATTTCAGTTGAATGTATAGATGCAGAATGGTAGCTTCATGAACTGGATTTTTACCTTAGTAGGTTGTAAGAGTCACTTGGATATTAAACTTTATGTACAATATTATTTTAGAAAATATGTCCTTGTCCTTAAACCCATGAAGTGATACTGGTTTTTGTGGGTTGTTTTTCTCCAGAAGACAAGCTCCTGTTGCTGCTGTGTTTGCTGGAAGCCCACAGCTAATGGGTGTGATTAAGCTGTGTACTGGGTGGACGGTGACAAGTCTACCTTTATATAATGATTATAATCTTCTACAAAGAAATGAGAATGTGAGTATTTGATTCCATAAATATATTGTGGTATCAGTGTGTCATTTTTCCATTGTGGAAGTTGAGATGAAATGCTTAAGATGTGTAGGAGTACTGAAAACTGTACATATTGAAGATATGTCAAGGCCACATGATAGTCTAGTGGAGTTGGAGTTCCCCAAAGTCCCTCAATTCCTAGGCCAGCTGGGGTGAGGATATATATAAATGATAGAGGAGTTGTGAGCTCAGGAAGGTCTTGCCGTGCATACAGGGCTGTGGAGGAAAAGTCTCAAAATGATTGTCAAGACAATCACTACCCCCTGTCCAACCCTTCCACCACCTGATCCTCTCCCTCAGGACCTACTGCTTCCTATCCATCCTCCTCTGCTCCCTGCTCCTTCACTACCCCCCCAGCACTGGGACCCTGACTCTTTTTCCAAACTCCCTGCTCCCCATACTTGATGGTGCCACCCAGCAGCACATCAAGCTAGTGTCCAGAAATCCATTTCAGCTATAAAAACATATTTTCCCTTAGATATTTAGGGAAATATATTGGTAACAAATATATACAATTATTTTTAAATAATTGTCTTTTTATAATTTGATATGTATGTAACTTCTTACTCCAGATTACCCAGTGTATTTAATATGCATTTAATTTTCCATGGTTCTACTTTGTATTGAATGTTTTTCTAATCTACAGATTTATCAGATGTATTCAAAAAGGTCTGCTGAGGATATTTATAAGATACTCACATCCTACAAAGCCACCTACCTAATTATAGAGGATTCAATTTGCAATGAGGTTGGACCTGTGAAAGGATGTAGAGTTAAAGACTTATTGGATATTGCTAATGGTCATGTAAGTAGCACCTGCAAAAAGTTAAATGTTTGAGTGGATGAAATAATTTGTTAAATTTAAAGAAAAATTAAATGAATGTCACAGGAATACTTAATTTGACAGTTACAGTTGGTATGTAGTCTGGATTTGATAAATATTTTAATGAATGTTAAGCTTTTGTTTTGAGAACTCCCTTGTTTGTGAATGTTTGGAAATATATGATACTTTTTCCTTGTTGCAGCATCATAGTGTAGATATTTCCAATGTGGAAGGTGCTTTTCCATAAGTGTAGGTAATCTGCTTTCCCAGGCAGCAGTAGCTAGGTTGGCGCAAGAATTATTCTGTTGACCTAGACATATCTACGCCAGTGTTTAGATCAGCTTACTCTTACTATATATTTTAGAAATGTGCATCTAGGTGTCCATCTGTGAGTCTGTTTGTTCAAGAATTCCTCCTAAATGGTAAGAACTAGGACTACCAAATTTGGTAGACAGCTTCCTTTTCTCCTTATTTAAAGCAAGGTTGAGGGTTGCTTGTGCCAAGAAAATGGGATGTGCCTGGAATAGGATTTTTTTCCATAACATGGAAAGGGAGGGGGCTGCTAGGAGGGACAGTTATTCTATTGAGTGACTATATGACGAAGTAGGCAATAATTTTTCCCCGGGGGCCACTTCAAAAATTTTGGAAGTAGCCCCGGGCCATCCCAGAAGGGGCGGGGCCTAACCAGGAAGGGATGGGGCTACCCCACCCCCAGACCAATCATGGTCTGGGGATGGGAGAGCCCCTTTGCCCCCCCTTCCCACTAGGCACCCATGCCCTGGAAGAGACTTGGCACTCTCTCCCACCCCCAGGCCAGTCAGGGCCTGGGGGTGGGGGAGCACAGGAAGCCTCCTCCCGCCCTGCGAGGAGCACATGCACTTTGGACAAGGCAGGACAAAGGAAGCTTCACGCAGCTCCCCTGCCCCCAGGTTCTGATTGTCCTGGGGACGGGGGAGCACGAGAAACCTCCTCTGCTCTCTCTCCGCGCCCCCCACTGCCCTTTCCAAGCAGAACGCAGTGCTTCAAAGTGCCACATGCTCCTGGCAGAGCGGGAGGAGACTTCACGCTCTCCCTGCCCCCAGCCAATTAAGGCCTGGAGGCTGGGGAGCATGCAAAGCCTTCTCCGTGCTGCTCGCAGGGTGGGGGCAGAGTGGAGAAGGCTTCAGGGTGCTCCCCCGGCCCCAGACCTAATTGGCTTGGGGGCGGGGAAGCAGCAGGTCCTTTGTGGGCTGGATCCACCTGTTTAGCGGGCCAGATCTGGCCCCTGGACACCCTTTTGCCCACCCCTGCCATAGGGGGTGGCCACACCATTAAGACAGTGGCCAGCTTAGGGAGGGGCTTTGACTGTTGCCATTCACCATCCATGGTGAGGTTCCCGTGCTGGTATTGGGCAGAGCTCGCCTCCCTCCCATGCTGGCTCCCATTCTCCCACAGTGCAGGGCCGTCCTTAGAAATTATGGGGCCCTATGCAACTGAGGATTCTTCCCAGCCTCTACCAGAGTCCAGGTGCATCCCTCTGCCTTTTTCCACCCACGGCTCCTACAGGGGCTAGACTAGAAGCTTATCTCCATCCCTCCTCTTTGCTGCTTCCCAGAACTGAGGGCTTCCCTAGTGGAGCTGCAGAGGCTGGGAACTCCTCTCTGTCCTGCATCCGGCAGCAGGGAGAGGGGACAGTGAGAAATCCTGCAGCAGTTGTGCGCATACACGTGCCCAGAGGGGCACCCGAACATTTGGTTCCCCACATTTTCAGGTGCCCTACACAGTTGCATATTTTGCGTATGCATAGGGACGGCCCTACTACAGCGGCAGCCCAATCCAAACCCCTCTTGGCCCCAGTGCTGGATAGCAGGGGAGAGTCCAGGCAGGCAGAGCAGCCCTCACTGCACCTGTCAACCTTGGGGAGCAGCTACTGGGGTCCATGGAGAGCTGCCACCAGCTGAGCGCACAGCCCCAGGGAGCTGCTTCCAACAGAGCAGTATGGTCCCGGCAAGCTGCCACTGCCCAGGCAGCACTGCCATGGGTGGCCCTAGGGATCCATCACCGCCTGGACAGCATCACCTCCACCATTGTGGATGGCCCTAGTGAGTCCCGATTGCCCTCGTGTTCATTTGTCAAGCACTTTTTCTTTCTTTTTCAACTCTTAAATCCCATTTCTTCTGGAGGAGCTTCTCTTCAATAATCGCCACATCTTCCCTTATCTGAACTGTTTTCTTATGTCTTGTCTTATATTCACCTTTTGTTTGACTATAATCTCTTGGGTGCAAGGAATGCAAATGCATGAAGTAGTAAAATGACTCAGTGATTTCTTGATTAGGGTGGCTGAAGAGCAATTGCATTGTTTTTAAATTGCCTGAGATGGTAGGTTCAAGTTTAATTTATCTAATCCAGGGCCATTGCAATTAAGAAGAGAAAGTCAAACTTCTGTGCAACTTGTAGCTTTGATTTCCCTTTACTTTACACCCCTTAAATTCTCTGACTTTATATTTACAAGTAGAAATTGTAATTAAAGAAGGAAAGCACATATTTAAAATTAGAAAAGCTGTGTTTTCTGTAACTGCAGAGGTTAGCTGACTATTTCTATTTATGGACAGGGCCATATTATGCTGGAGACTCAATTTAAACATTTATGCAGCAGAAAAGTCCTTAAAATGGTTTGACTGGTCAACATGGGTACGTCTACACTACAGCGCTAGTTCGAACTATCCTTGGATAGGTTGAATTTTCTTTTGGGCAGGTTGAAATTTTGTATGTGCAACACCACTATTGAGGTAGTAGGTAGATGTGCACCTCCAATCCAATCCAATCCAATTAAAGTGTGTGCGCACACACATTTTAAGCAGTCCATATGTGTGGAAGAAAATATATTAAAATAAGGGATAGTTAACAAGGAGCAATGCTCATGATATTTAATATGAAATTAAATACAAAGGAAAAGTAACACTATACTTGGAATACATGTATCATCATCCTTTTTAACAACTCAAGCTAGTAAACACACCAAAATGCATATTATCCATACAGAGCTCAGCTTTAAGATGATAAATAATTTTGAGTCAACTAGAAATAGTATTTGCAAGGAGAGCATGACTAATACATATTTACTGACACTGGAAAGGAGAGTAAAAGGCATTCACTAAAGCTTACACAGTTTCTCTGTGGAATATTTAGGATCCATGCTGTAAAAACAGATAAGTTCTCCTGATTTGAAATTTTCACCTTGTGTGTGTCACCAAGGAGGGATAGCCATATTAGTCTGTAACTGAAAAAAGAATGAATGGTCCTGCAGCACCTTAGAGACTAACAAAACTCAGAGTAGAATCCCCCAGAACAAATTAACACATGACTTCAGGGTTTGTAGACAGATGCATGTTTCAAAGAGCTTGCAAATAAGGTTTCATCCTAAAAATGAACTAAGATCACACCTAGTATTTGCTACTTCTGACTCATAAAAGCCAGAATTCTACCACATAGCAAATATCTAGTTTTAATGCAATACAGTATACCATGTATTAATTAGTAACACAGGATTTTAAAAAAATCATTAAGATCAGAGTTATAGATATCTGCAACACTCCAAAAAAAATCTGTTAAAATAATATTTTTCTTTCTTATATTAAGCTATTAACATCTATGTAAACTTTGTCTGAAATCTAATCATGCAAATGTACTGGCACACACCCACCCCATGAAGCTTGTTTCCCCCTCCCCCCCAGCCCCAGATAGAGAAGACTGCAGCAAGTGAGCCAGGGACACCCGAACAAACGCCCACCCCCTCCACTTCACTGCACAGATGCCAGCACTTATCCCTGTACAATCTGCTCCCCAGAGCCCAGGTGGGGCCTGGGATAAAATCCTGCTTCTCAAACTAGCAGGCATTAGCAGTCTGTCCTGTCCTAACTCCCAGCTTAAGCACAAACAAATTATCCACACCTCCCCCCACCTCCACCTTGCCAAGTGCCAGCACTCATCCATCTCCTTTTTACCCCACTTATTCCATGCAGCCAACCCCTGATCTCCGACTTCTCAGGAGGTTTGAGAGTGCTAAGTTTCTGCCTCTTTTCTTCCGCAGACAGGACCCTCCAAACTCCTCTGCCCTCCCCCTCAGCCAATTACTCCCCTCCCTCACTCCCTCCTGCTCCTCCTCCCCCCTCCCTCCCAGACACTTATTCCCTTATTATCTCACTTTGTACTTGATCTGGGACCAGCTCAGTTTCAAGCAAGCAGCTAACTCCATTTAGCTGCTTGCTTAGCAAGATGACTTCCCGCCCCCTGCTGGTCAGCTGAGCTCCCTGCCTTCATGGGAGCTTTGAACTTTTGAGCAGAGCTCAGAAAATAGCTGTGTGATAGCGCAGCTACACAGCTTTCAGGAAACTAAGGTGGCATTACTCTAGCAATGACTCCTCAGGGGAAGGAGGACTGCACTGCCTGGCCTGCAGCTCCAGGGGTGGGGGTCAGGGCTGTGCTGCCCAGCCCCAGTTGGCAGCTGAGCCAGGGCTGTGCTACTCTACCAGAGGGTCCTCCCAGAGTTGAGGGGGCACAGCAGTGGTCCTCCCCCCTCTCCCCAGTCCAGGGGTGGCAAAAGGGTCTTTGTGGGCTGGATCTGGCCTGCCAAGCAGGTTGATCTGGCCTGTGGAGGCCCTGCCGCTCCCCTGCCCCCAGGCCAGTTAGGGTCTTGGGGCAGGGGGAAGCGCACAAAATGTTCTCCACTCAGACAGGAGCACACGGCACTGATTGGCCTGGAGGTGGGGGAGCACAGGAAGTCTTTTCCCACCACCAGGGGCATGGGTGCTTAGTTGGGAAGGGGGGGGCAAAGGGGCTTTCCCACCCCCAGACCAATCATGGTGTATGGGTGGGAAAGCCTGAAGCATTGTGGCCCCATTCCTTCCTTTTGAGGCCCCACCCCTTCCAGTGCAGCCCCGGGCCACTTCACAAATTTTTGAAGTGACCCCGGGCAAAAAATTATTGTCCACTGATGGGTTTGGGGCTTGCAGGCCATTGGCCCAAGTTAGTGCCCCCAACATATAGAGCCTTGGCCTCTGCCAACCAGTCTCTTACTGATTCGACCCCTTTCCCCCTCATGATCATTGTGGAGCATAACTGTCCCTGTTCTCAGACTCTTCCCTTTCCATGTTATGGAAAACTATCAGATTTTAGGCGCTTCCCATTGTCCTGGTATAACTAAACAATGACCTTGCTTTCAATTAGAAGAAGAAGCTACATTCAAAATTTGGTGGTCCTTGCTCTTACCATTTAGGAGGAGTTCTTAAAAAAAATGGACCCTCAGATGAACAGGCAGACAGACAGATGCACATTCTAAAATATATAGCAAGAAGATGATTAATTATGTACTGGTAACTTGAGAGTGAGGAGTTCACTTTACTTAATCCAAAATTAACAGGGAAGACAGAACTCTTAGTATTATTGCTATAGGTGCAAATGTTAAACAGTGCTGTATTTAAGAAGAAAAGGGTAGGCTAAATGGCTTTTAGAAAATAATACGTTAAGCCTTTTGCCTCTATTGATTTTCAGGGGTACCAATCTAGAACTAGTTTTAATCAATTCACAAGCATTAAAAAACCACAAAGCATAGGGGAAGGTGTTTTCAGCCATTTATGTATATTTGCGTTATGCCTGTTGGAATTGTATAATATAGAAATGAAAGATTAATCATATGTTCTGTTGTTAGATTTCTATTAACAAATTTCTTCTTATCTGATAGGTGGTTTGTGACGAAGGTGACAGTTATGCCTATTCTAAATATGGACGATTTTGTCATGAGATCAAAATGAACTATTCTCCATATGTGAATTATTTTACTCGGGTATACTGGAACAGATCCTACTTTGTGTATAAAATAAACACTGTGATATCCTTCCAATCTTGAAAAACCATGGAGATGTCTTTTTGAAGAGTGACCGTGTAGGAATTAATAGAAGGAGTTCTTATTTTCCAAAGTGACTTTTTGCAGAGAGAAGTGGGAGCATGCCAAATGCTCATGCTGTTGGTCTTCCAAACTGGAATTCTGTGGACTACAGCTCTACAAGCAAGAGTATCGTCGTCTAAGGAAATGTGAGCACTAGTCAATTTTACAGTCTCTACAAAGTATGACCATCTGCCGTAATTCTTACATTTTTCTTCACAGTTTTTCCCATTTTGAATCATACTAATTTTCATGTAAATAAAATGTCTAGCCTAAATGTTGCAAAAAATAAATAAATTCAAGATGAACCTACTTTCGTAAATACAGAAAAATTATAATCAGGTTGATGTAAATTCATGCCATTATAAAGCTTTTCTTTTCTAGCATTTAAAACCATCAAAGCATCCATGCAAATAGCTTGATTTTCTGCTAACAGGACTGTCTTTAACTATGTGCATTACTGTGTTAATTACAGACACATTCACGTTTTCTCTGTGCGTAGATACAGTATTTTTGTATGAGCCAAATCCTGAAGATTTTACTTAGGCCAAAACCCCCATAAACTTTTACTTTAATGCATGGACAATGGGGTTCACCTATGTAGACAAGGATCAGGAGTAGGTCTTTGGGATTTGGCCACATTAAATAATATTTGTTCATTTTATTCAATTAAATAGGTGTTTTGTGGTTAATATTGGTATAACATTGCCACACATTTTATTTAAGCTCACACACACACAATGAAGCCATGCTAAACCAGTGGATAACTGTTTAAAAATATATGCATAGAATGAATTGAGAGTATACTGTCAAGATATTTTTTAAGAATTTTGGAAAATATTTTATCCCTTAACTTTGTTTTAGCTTCCCCACACCTTTCTAACCAGTTTCCTAATGAATTCTCTGTTTATGCAGTTTAGTTAGTTGCTATTTGATGTGTTTCTGCTATAATGGATGCTTGTTTGTGTCCTACTTTTGGCCTGATCTAGGTGTGCTGAAACAAAACACTGCAAAAGTACTTTTGCTTGAGTGAGGAGTGCAAAATCATTCCCACTATCTCTGCTGGAAAAATGTAAATCCAAAGAATTTAACTTCTATGAAATGAGCATATGCGGCAAGAACATGGTGCATGTGTATGCTTACCATTTCCTCTGTGAACATAGGTTTGTTTATTGTTATACTAACAGTGCTGCAATATCAAATAACTTGTGGTCTTTTTTAAAGACTTTATTGTTGCAAATGTCGTCACATCGGTAGTCCAGTTTTAATTTCTATATGTGCTAATTTTAAGGCTTAAAAACCTTGACAATGTTTATATTATCCACTTTATTTTAAACCAGGGCAAATCTATAAAACAAAAAAATAATGGGTTTGGTGATCTGAAGGAAAAATGGTTTTTAGTATAGTTGAGTGGCAGGATATAGTAAGTAGCCTTATATCAGATGTAGCCTTGAACATTCATTATATTAAGAATGTGTGTGCGTTTGTATTGTATATAAAGTTCACTAACAGTATGCGTTATTTGTGTATTTATACACAAGTGCATATGTGTATCTGCACTGAACATTAAGACTTTTCAGTCACCACAGTAAACTAATGCATCATCTTCAGCTACTGCAAGGTATGGGAACCTTTTAGTGATCTTTTTTCTGTGTGATAGATTGAATGTAGATGTATTTAATATTTTGAAATAACTCTAGAACTCCATATGCAGTTGGAGTTTATTATGATTGACTGTCAGGGATGTCATACCTATGTGTCTCATTCCTAGTAAATGTCTGAGTCTAAGTGTTCATGAATTCCATTTCATAATAGCCCTAAGGCATTCCAGTAGTTATTTTTAGGGTGACTGTTGCACTCATTAGTGGCTGAAATCACTTAGTCAGTGGCCTCATGCCTTATAACAGCATTCAATGTGCAATATTTTAATTACCCTGCAATGGGCTGCCTATTGTGTTTTACTTCAGTGTATAGTACTAAGTAATATATAGTTTGAATACACACACATAGAATACATGTGTAGAGAAAAATACAGCTAATGGCCATTGTATACATCTGAAAATAAATCCAGTCTATAGCACTTTTGCCTTTATACGTCTTTGAATAGACATGTTAGCTCATTTCATCCGTGACATAATATTCTTAAGTTTTATCATTTTTAGTGATGTTGCTACTTCAGTTGATTCTGCTTTAGGATAATCAAAATCAGGAGGATTTTTAAGGTAGACACAGACACACACACTCACACAACCACAGAGGCATTGAGACATCGGGTTAAAGAAAACAGAGTCTTGTAACTGCAGGGAAGTGTTGCCATTGTAATTCCAGTTAGAAGGGAAAAATATTTAAATAATTTAACCTAAAAAATCAGAACTTTGGTTTGAACATCCAATCTGCTTGCTGGCCTGCTTATGAAATAACCAAAAAAAGTGTCATTTACTAAATGTCTATTCTCATTCCAGCTTTTTGTGTAGAACACAAGTTCCATGGTGTTCCCAGGAAGGGTTAAATAGGGCTTTTCACAGAAGTAAACTGCAGTTATGTCCAACTTGCTTACCATCATAGGTCACTAGCATTACAAGGCTACTGAAAGAATAAAAACTCATAGTTCAGAGGCATGAGAACATACTGAAAAATCACATCTGTGTTACTGTAGATGTTGCAATCCATTTGAAATATGTGCCTTGAAAACTTTATTAAACAAACAAAATAAACTCGTGTTTATTTTTGTGAGTTTCCCTTCGCATCCTTTCTTGGTTTAGAGATCATCAAGCTCAATGGGTCCTAATCTTGCTTAGAGCCTTTAATACACGTGTATTTTAAATATTCTTTAAATTACAGTGATAAGGTCCTGATTTATATCCCATGTCACTCCGGTGATCTAATGACCGGTGATCTAATGCCCAAACTGAGTGATTGGGCAACAAAATGGCAAATGAAATTTAATGTGGGTACGTGTAAAGTAATGTGGGTAAGTGTAAAGTAATGCACATCGGGAAAAATAACCCCAACTATACGTACAGTATGATGGGGGCTAATTTGGCTACGACAAATCAGGAAAGAGATCTTGGAGTTATCATGGACAGTTCTCTGAAAACTTCCACACAGTGTGCAGCGGCGGTCAAAAAAGCAAATAGGATGCTAGGGATTATTAGGAAAGGGATAGAAAATAAGACACAGAATACCTTACTGCCCCTGTATAAAACTATGGTACGCCGACATCTCGAATACTGGGTACAGATGTGGTCTCCTCACCTCAAAAAAGATATTTTAGCCTTGGAAAGGGTTCAGAAAAGGGCAACTAAAATGATTAGGGGTTTGGAACGGGTCCCATATGAGGAGAGGTTAAAGCGACTGGGACTTTTCAGTTTGGAAAAGAGGAGACTGAGGAGGGATATGATAGAGGTTTATAGAATCATGAGTGGTGTGGAGAGGGAGAATAAAGAAAAGTTATGTATTAGTTCCCTAAATAGAAGAACTAGAGGACACCAAATGAAATTAATGAGGAGCAGGTTTAAAACGAATAAAAGAAAGTTCTTCTTCACACAGCGTGTAGTCAACCTGTGGAACTCCTTGCCAGAGGAGGCTGTGAAGGCTAGAACTATAACAGAGTTTAAAGAGCAGCTAGATAATTTCATGGAGGTTAGGTCCATAAAAGGCTATTAGCCAGGGGATAAAATGGTGTCTTTAGCCTCTGTCTGTCAGAGGCTGGAGAGGAATGGCAGGAGACAAATCGCTTGATCATTGTCTTCGGTCCACCCTCTCTGGGGCACCTGGTGCTGGCCACTGTCGGGAGACAGGATACTGGGCTAGATGGGCCTTTGGTCTGACCCAGTACGGCCATTCTTATGTTCTTATGTAGTAACCTCCTACTAAGGTGATACTGATGTGAATCTCATAGTAGCGTCTGTGCCAGCCATTTTATTTACAACCATTGGCTACACCAGCCCAGAGAAAATGTTGAATTTACATGGCAAGATGTTGCTTTTGTTCTGGTTTACTTCCTCCTTCCCATGGTGAACCCTCAACCCCTCTTATACTTGCTCAGTCTCAACGAACAAAAATATTATCTGAAAAGGTTATAGGTAGAAGGTAGGAGTATTTTATTGCTCTAACCCCTTGGTGGGGAACCCGCAGGCCAGGCGCCACTTTCCACAATTCCCATTGGCCGGGAATGTTGAACCATGCCAAATGGGTGCTGCTCTGTGCCTGTAGACACTCAGTAAACAAACCATCTTGCAGCCCACTAGCAGCTAACCCTGACAAAGGTTCCCCACCCTGCTCTAACATTTCACCTTCAAATTTAGTCAGGTCACAAGTGCAATGAGATTGGCAATATCAGCCTAGTCCCTAAAGCATTCTTGTCCAAGGACTACCAATTGAACCTCCCTAATCCAGCATCCTCAGGACCTGATCAGTGCTGAACCAGAGAATATGCCATATCACAGGAGGTCAATATTGTATAGGAGCATTACCAATACTTCAGTTGCTTACTGGGCTCTTAAAAGAGATGTAGGGGTAAACTAGAGCTAAATAACAGACAAGAACACTGAGAACCAGGACTACTGGCTGTAAACAAACTCTATGGGACCAAGGGAAACTTGGTCACATTCATGATAAGTGGACATTTGGCTAACTAAAATCATGCTGAACCATGGATGTTGCCGAGCCAGAGTGCGCCACACTAGGGAGGTTCAACCTGCACTAGGTATGTAAGTGTCTATTAGATTATCCGATAAGCAAATGCTTATCAGAAAGAGGCAGCAAGGGGAGGGTGGGGAGCTAGTAAAGCTGGTTTTCCCCCAGCACCATCTCTGTGGAGGGTAGGAGAGGCAGATGTATAGTGGGAAACAAAGTGAATGGGGATTGCTTCAGTCCTTGCTCGCGCCAATTCCCTCTGTGGGCGCTTCTGCTTTTGAAATGTACAAGAGCCCTGCAGGGCTCTTGTACATTTCAAAAGCAGAAGTGCCACAGGGAACACAGGGTGAGCAGAGACTCAAGCAGTCCCCACTTGCCCTGTGCTTTCTGCAGCACCCTGCTTAGCTGCCTCTAGAAGAGGCAGCAAAGGGAGGACAGGAGCCAGTGCTGGGGGGAGCTGGCTTAACAGCCAGTTTCCCCCCAGCACCGTCTCTGGGGTGCTGCCTGCCCCCACCCCACTGCCTCTATCAGAGGCTGAAGGGGGGGGTGGTAAGGGATGCTGCTGCGAAGCAACCCCAATTCTGCAAGGGTCCCAGTGTGGGGGCGGGGGGCACAGCTCCCCAGACAAGGGCT